TGAGGAAACCGTTAGCCGCAGCCCCGCCAAGGCTACAGAGAATGATCCTTCAACTACAAAAATATGACTTCACAATCACTCACCATCCAGGCAAAGACATCCCTGTCGCAGACACACTCTCCAGGAAGTTTCTTACCTACAAGGACAGCAGCCTCAGTGAAGGCATGGACATGCAGGTGCACACTGTGTACAGCAACTTACCAGTTAGTGACACAAAACTGAAGGAGATCTGAGCAGAAACAGAAAAAGACACAACTCACACAGCTGAGGAAAGTCATACAGTCAGGATGGCCTGAGGAGAGGAGAAAATGCCCTCAGAGCGTCTCAGAGTTCTGGAACCATCTTGACGAACTATCACAGATCAACTGAATCATTTTCAAAGGAGAGAAAATCATAATTCCTACCAGTCTCAGAGAAGAGATTTTGACAAAGATCCATGCTGGACACATGGGCATGGAAAAGTGAGCAGAGAGCACAGGACATTTTGTTTTGGCAAACAAATAGAGGACATGGTTGGTAAATGCCCCACCTGTCTTGAACGACGCCCCTCAAACACCAAAGAGCCAATGTTACCTCACCGTATCCCAGACCGACCCTGGCAGGTCGTGGCAACCGATCTGTTCACCTGGAACAACGAGGACTACATTATAAGAGTGGACTACTACAGCAGATACTTCGAACTCGACAAGCTTCACAACACCACATCTGCAGCTGTGATACACAAGCTGAAAGCAGCCTTTGCCAGGCATGGCATTGTAGATACTTTAATATCTGACAATGGGCCCTGTTACTAATCAAATGAGTTTGAATCCTTCACAAAAGCCTGGGAGTTCACACACGGACCACAAGCCCACATTACCCTCAAAGTAATGGCCTTGCTGAGAAATCTGTGCAGATTGCTAAATCACTCATGGACAAAGCAAAAGCAGACAAGAGAGACCCCTACCTCAGTCTCCTTGAATACCACAACACTCCAGTTGACAACTTCAAATCACCAGCCCAGCTGTTGATGAGCCGCAGACTTCGCTCAATCCTTCCCAGCACTAACTAGCAGCTGCAACTTGAGGTCGTCAGCTACAAGGAAATTCAAGCAAAACGTGCACAGAGACAACACCAAAAGCGATACTACGACAGGTCAGCTAGACCACTGCCACCACTGAATGACGGAGAGTCAGTTAGAATCCAGGATAATGGCTACTGGAAGCCAGCAGTCGTCATCCAACGAGCTAACACTGAACGTTCATATCACGTTCGCACCGCAGAAGGAGCAGTGTACCGCCGCAATCGTCGTCACCTACTGAACACAAAAGAACAACACACTGACGAGATGAACTGTTCCCCTGAAAGAGAACGGGATGGACTAAACACACACACCACACACCATACACCATACTTGCCTGCAACACCACAAGAACTGTTGACTGACACAGAAGCATGCTCAGCTTCAAATCACACAAGGTCAGGAAGAGAGGTCAAGCCTAGAGCTGTCCTAGACCTGTGAAATGTCAAAGGTTGTAGGCGGATCGCTGCCCTAAAAGAGTTCCGGACTGTAAACTTGTTATTGAAAAGTTAACTTGAAATGCTTTGGTATTGTATTTGTTTGAAATGTTGATGTCATTGCTACAGTGAAAAGCTGAGTTGCTGAGAAATATTTGTTCTAAAAGTAACAGTATGCTGAATCATTGTTTCAGAGTCTGTTATGTTGATGCAGTTGGTGCAGTATAAATGGTTACTTACCTCGAGTTCAAACTACAGAGCATGTATTCAAAAGAAGCACTTAAAATATGTAGAACATTTTTCTTTTTTTTAAAGAAGGGGGATGTATTATTTATGTGTCAGTATACTGAATTGTAATTGGATGCAGTCTACCGTCATAACATACTGCGCTATGATTGGTTAAGACCACCCAGGTGGTGAGGTCATTCTTCAAGATGATCATGGCCGGAGACACATGAACATGCCAGTTTAAGCTAGCTAATAAAGAGCTAAGTTTATAAAGAGCCTGTCGTGCTGCATTTTATTATTTTGTACAAAGCATACAAAACAAGGCAGGGCTTGTTCGTGAAATTTGGACAGTTGGATGGGTAATTTTGCTGGAGAATAGTTGCACTTCCACAAAAATGTAAGAACATCAATTTCTTAAAAATATGACAAGGAATAAAGTACCATATAGATTCAGAGCTAAGCATACATATTTTTATTCAGTTTACTTTAAAGGTATTGTTGATATCATTGAAATCTATTACTTCAAGCCCACCATCAGCTCTTTGGTTTGATATTACAGATTTCTTAAGTTTGTGTTGTTTATTTTTCCAAATAAAGTCTAGGAAAGTTTTGTTGATATCGTTGCTGGTTTGATCAGCTACAAATAGGGACAAAGCAAGGTAGACAAAACATGACAGACCCTCTGCTTTGGACAATAGAAACCTTCCAATAATAGAGAGGTCATGCTGGAGACCGTTATTAAAGATGGATTTAGTTTTCTTTAATCTCTGAGAAAAATTGAGAGGTTGATGGACAATATGGTTTTTCGCCATGTGCACCCCTAAATATTTCACATTATCTTTCATTGGAATATTCTCAATAGATTGGTAATTTGAGTTATGCAGGGACAATATTTCACATTTATTTAAGTTAAGTTTCAGACCATAAGCTGAAGAGAATGATTTGATAGTATTAAGTGCAATAGCAACTTGAACCTTATCTTTTAGAAACAGAGTTGTATCATCTGCTTACTGAGATATTTTAATTTATTTTCAAAATATAGAAATAACTTGTAATTCAGGGTTGTTTAAAATGCTAATAGATAGTAATTATACAACTACTGTAAAAGGAATAAGAAAGCTGAAATAGGGCAAACCTGGCATACACTACGTTGAATATTAAATATTTTAGATTAATAGTAGCTAGATTAATAGTAGCTCAGCTGGTAGAGCACGGCGCTTGTAACGCCAAGGTAGTGGGTTCGATACACACACATAAAAAAAAAAAAAATGTATGCACGCATGACTGTAAGTCGCTTTGGATAAAAGCGTCTGCTAAATGGCATATTATATTATATTATTATTTTATAAAACATATTGATAATAGATACAAAGCTAGTCCCAAAACCAAAATTGTACAACAAATGTATTGGGAACTTGTGTTCTACTGTATCAAATGCATTGCAAAAGTCGAGGAATAAAATAATAGCATCGGAGTCCTATGAATCAGCGTAATCAATCAAGTCTAAAACAAGTCTAATGTTACAGTTGATGTGGCGACCTTTCATGAAACCAGTTTGGGTTTCATTAATACGGTGGTTTAGACCCATTTTAAGTCTATTAGCATATGCTAAAGTTATCAATTTATAAAATGTATGTAATAATGTCATAGGTCTCCAACTATCTATGAAAAGGGGATCTTTATCAGGTTTTGGTATTAAGGAAATAACCCCTTGTTTCATGGTAGTAATCATCTCACCATTAGCTAGGCATTCTTGGAACATGTTGATTACTGGTTACTCTAAATGTTCCCGAAAGTGTAAATAAAATTCCACAGAAAGACCGTGTGTTCCAGGTGCTTTGCCCTTCTTCATAGATTTAAGAGCATCTCTAATCTCTACTATAGAAAACACATTTTCACATATGGATTTGAACTCATCAGAAATAATTGGAAAATGACCATGGAGATGTTTCATAAAATGTTCACATTCAATCCCATTAAAACTAGATTTAACAGATTTTCATAGAAAGAATACACAAAGTTAGAGATTATCTAAGGGTCTTTACAAAAGGTATTGTCAATATTCAAGGCAGAAAGAGATGTTCTTTTTTTCAAGTGCAAAAAAATGCCTAGTGTTTTTCTCACCCTCCTCAACCCATTTTGCTCTAGATCTAATAAAGGCCCCTTTAACTAAATCAATGTACATTTGAACTAGTTCTATTCGAGATGTATTCAAATCTGTTTCTTCCTCTGCTGAAAGGGTATCCTTTTCTAAAAGAACATTCCATTTATTCATAAGCTCATCTTCTTTCAAAATGTTTGCTTCTTTAGTTCCTTACTGCGTGTAATGGCGATAGATCTTTGAATTTAAATATTTCCCAATTAATTCCATGCCTTGGTTCTGGGCTCGGTGTCAGTTAAACTGCGGTCTCCTCTGTGTACAAGGGGTGACGTGCTTTCCAATCGGAACCCTGAACCCCCTGGTTCACTCGCGTATCTGCCCTCTCATTGGCTACAACGGTCACACCTGCTCTCGCTTCTTCTCGCCTGCCTTCCATCTTTGAGGACAAACATTTCCATTGTTAGAACGGTCACTCGAATATCTTGTCAATATAATAGAACATCTTTGGTTAACATCATTTATTGAGGCAAATCCACTAGAAGTTGTCATTGGTCGGTCTCCCCGATGTTTCCTTTCTCATTGGCCAATAAATCTGTCAATCAGTGACGTTTCCTCAGATGGGGTGGTGATAGTACCAAAGACAGTACAGTATGAAGATAGGCTAAAACTGCTTCTCGAAAATAAATCCCCGACCACACTTGTAGGCGATGTCATGGCGACGTTGGCTAGCAAAGCTCATGCGTAAAAACCCGTAATCGGGTCTGAAGGTCGGCTCACGCCGAACTGCGCATGTGCAGGCCGTCAAAGGCACTCCTATATAAAGTTGTCTTTGACGAAAATGAAAACGTGTCAGTTTGTCATTTTCACGAGGTTGGAGTAATAACATGTTCAACTACATAAGACATCTAGGTTGTACCTTTAGATTTCGAGAAAATTAACAATTAAGGAAGAATCTTTCACTTCTCTCATTGACCCCAGCCTGGTCTGCTTGGTCTGTTTCTCATGCGTTCCCGGAAGTCTCGCGATGTGGCGACTCTGGGTCTAAAAAAATCTGTGGTGGTACTTTATGTATGCCTCCAGTAAATTAGGTTTGGCAGAGAGAGTATTTGCAAAAGGAAAAATTGAAACATGGGCACCGTACAGCTGTAAATAGACAAGTCTAACGACAGTAGACATGAGAGGCGCCACTGCGGCCTTTTACGGGTGTGCTCTGGGTCTTCTGGCAATGGGCCTGCGAGAATTGTTGTTGGGATTCGAAGAGAATAGGTGTAACATGACCTATATGTTCGAGCATCCCCAGTACCGGGTGAGTAAGTTAGCTTGCCTATTGACCTAAATGAAATGGCACCACGCGCGATTCGGAGTAATAATTCGTCAATGTCAACTTGCTAGCTAGTTAATGTTCTAGCTGTCATTTTGGATAGCCATAATTTGGATATGGCTAAGCCCTTGGTCGATATATGAAACTGTGAAGCTCAAGCTACAGGTAACTGCCAATATAATGGAAACGTTTGAGTAAATGAAGGATACAATTGAAAGCAGGTGCTTCCACACAGGTGTGGTCCCTGAGTTAATTAAGTAATAACGTTCCATCATATTTAGGGTCATGTATAAAAATGCTTGGCAGCCCATTATTTTGGCTACCATGGCAATGCCCCACACGATGACAATGCCCCTACCTAGCCTAGGCAGCCGATAGTGGGCTAAGGATCTGCACTATCGTCTAGGCTTGATGTGCATTTCCGCAAATACACTCCTGCCCCCGGTGGACCGAATCGTACATAATGCATCCTCCATTCAGGCTGCAAAGGCATCATTTTTCTCCTTAGGAGAGAGAGAGAGATGGGAGAATTAGAGGGCGCATACTTAAGTTCATAAAGGACAATTTCACCAGACAGGACAGACTGACCCTAGCCCCCCCCGGCACATAGACTATTGCAGCATAGATACAGCCAACCAACTTACTACCCTGAGACAAGGCTGAGTATAGCCCACGAAAGATCTCCACCGCACGAGCCCAAGGGGGTGCAAAACCGGACAGGAAGATCATGTCAGTGATTAACCCACTCATGTCGAGTCTAGCGAAAAAAGCCAGTCATAACGTGACACACCCCTCCTAGGGACGCCATGGAAGAGCACTAGTAAGCCAGTGATTCAGCCTGCGTAGTAGGGTCTGAGGCAGAGAATCCCAGTGGAGAGAGGGGAGCCGGCCAGGCAGAAACAGCAAGGGCGATTCATCACTCCACTGCCTTGCCATTCACCTTCACACCCCTGGGCCAGACTACACTCAATCATAGGACCTACTGAAGAGATGAGTCTTCTGTAAAGACTTAAAGGTTGAGACCGAGTCTGCATCTCTCAGATGGATAGGCAGACCATTCCATCAAATGTGAGTTCTATAGAAGAAAGCCCTGCCTCCAGCTGTTTGCTTAGAAATTCTAGAGACAATAAGGAAGCCTGCGTCTTGTGACCGTAAGGTACCTGTAGGTATGTACGGCAGGACCAAATCAGAGAGATGGGTAGGAGCAAGCCCATGTAATGCTTTGTAGGTTAGCAGTAAAACCTTGAAATCAGCCCTAGACTTAACAGGAAGCCAGAGTAGAGAGGCTAGCACTGGAGTAATATGAGCATTTTTTTTGGTTCTAGTCAAGATTCTAGCAGCTGTATTCAACACTAACTGAAGTTTATTTAGTGCTTTATACGGGTAGCCGGAGAGTAGAGCATTGCAGTAGTCTAATCTAGAAGTGACAAAAGCATCAATTAGCTTTTCTGCATAATTTTTTGATAAAAGGTTTCAGATTTTTTGCAATGTTAACAAGATGGAAAAAGGCTGCCCTTGAATTATTCTTGATATGTTCGTCAAGAGATCAGGGTCCAGAGTAACGCCGAGGTCCTTCACAGTTTTATTTGAGACCACTGTACAACCATCAAGATTGTCAGATCAAACAGCAGATCTTAGTTTTTTGGGACGAGTTTAAAAGTAAAACATTTGCCGCCATCCACTTCCTTGTGTCTGAAACACAGGCTTCCAGGATAGGCAATTTTGGGCCTTTGACATTGTGTTTCCGAATGACATCACCAAGAGGTAGAATATATAGTGAAAACAATAGTGGTCCTAAAGCAGAACCTTGAGGCACACTGAAACATACCATTGATGAGTCAGAGGACACACCATCCACAGAGACAAACTGATATCTTTCCGACAGATAGGATCTAAACCAGGCAAGAACTTGGAGCGTTTCGTATACATTATTTGTGTTCAGGAAGGCAGTGAGTTGCTGCGTAAGAGCTTTTTCAAAACATTTTGAGAGGATTGGGAGATTTGATATAGGGCGATAGTAAAAAAAAAAAAATCTGGGTCAAGGTTTGGCTTTTTCAGGAGAGGCTTTATTACTGCCACTTTTAGTGAGTTTTGTACCATCCGGGGGATAGGGAGCAGTTTATAAGGAGGACCAAGCACAGGAAGTAGCTCTTTCAGTAGTTTAGTTGGAATATGGTCCAGTAGGCAGCTGGAAGGTTTAGAGGCCATGACTATTTTTTGTGAAAAAAACTGTAGTGTCTCCATTGATCCTAGGTCCTGGCAGTTCTGTGCATGAAGCCATTGCCGTCTGTCACCAGATCTCAACCCAATTGAACACTTATGGGAGATTCTGAAGCGGCGCCTGTGACAGCGTTTTCCACCACCATGAACAAAACACAAAATTATGGAATTTATTGTGGAAGAATGGTGTGGCATCCCTCCATAGACATTTGTAGTAGAATCTATGCCAAGGTGCATTGAAGCTGTTCTGATTCATGGTGGCTCAACACCCTTTTAAGACACTTTATGTTGGTGTTTCCTTTATTTTGGCAGTTACCAGTACCTGTTGTTGTTTAGCACTTGCAACAGGCTTCCAATTTCAACATTGCACGTCGCGCATGTTGCACATGATTTTCAGAGTGACAAGGCTACACAGGGCTATGTCCACGTTGAGGATGTCAACGGACTGTGTCATGCACACCTCCGTTTCGTTTCATATTTCACCATGGAATTTGATATTATCTCCACTATCACAAAATGGAGAGGTGGCATGGTAGCTAGACAGCTACTGTATGTTGAGGTTGCTGAGTGGGTGTGTGGTGTCATCATTGCATGCTACATCAGGGCTCACGAGATCACACTTTGTGTTGTAAGAAGCTGCATTTGATCCATGATAAGTGCTATACGATAAGGTGATTATTCCAGCCACTGAGTGCCTGGCACAATCATATGGCACTGTCTGCACTCACCATGGTGATGGATGGTGCTGAGAAAAGATTAGCCCAATCTATAAAAATTAGCTATTATTTATTACCCAAAATTTTACTCTGATCTGATTTACTCAATCAAGAGTCAGTGTCGGTCACATGGTGCCACACCTCTCCCGTGTGTGTGCGCATTTCTCACACTGCACTGTTTTTTTTCCGCCCTGATGTGTTCTTCTGCCGAGAAATGTGGCTTAGCTGTACCCAGCATATGGCTCTACCTCAAGGGAGGTGTGTGTGCCCTTAGTGTGTCGCACTGGTTTATGGCCCGGAGTGTAGGGAGGTGTGTGTCCTCACTTTCTGTATGTGTGTGTTGACAGCGTGTGGCCCTGCCCCGACGCGTGGCCCGCCTGTACCCAGCGTATGGACTCTACCTGTACGGAGAGGGCCAGTACGCTCAGGACACCCGCAAACTCAAACTGACTGGCGCCCCTGTTCTCTTCCTACCTGGAAATGCAGGCAGCTACAAACAAGGTGAGCTTCTATCACCACTAACCAAACACATCCACTAATCAAACTTACCCTAACCAATCTTACCCACTCAGCTCAGGTTAGGGAATATCGCAAGCTTGCTCTCTCCATTGCTCTAACAATGGAAGCTAAGTAGCTCTAAGATGTACAATATCTGCTTTGGTTACATATTGTATGTAGGCAGGTGAAAGTCTTCTATTTGAGAAAGGTCCTATGCCCACTAATGCAGATCTATCCTCTTCTGGTTTGGTTTTGCTAGTGGCTGCTGGTGGGAGTAGAACACCCACTCTCTCTTTCTCTCACTCTCACATGCATACGCCCACACACACGCAACATGCACTGCACATAGATTGCTCTTTTACCATTTCATGCATGGTATTCCGTGTCTTCCACTATGGGTTCTGTTGCATTAGCCTATTTTACATGCCATAGTTGCCATCACAACCACAAACCAAGCAAACCGCAAACCAGGCATGATCTTACGTTGTTTTATATTCAACATTAGCACTAAGTAGGCTATGGTTGGGCTACATTAAAGCCTGTAAAGCCTAATACCTGGTTTTACATTAAACAGACTTAGTCAGAGTTGACTTAAACTGTTAACAACCTGATAACGGGAGTGCTACTGTTGATAGGGAGGTGAAACGGGGGGCCAGTATGAAAAATAAAAAAATTATGTATGCACTCACTAACTGTAAGTCGCTCTGGATAAGAGCGTCTGCTAAATGACTAAAATGTAAATGTAAAATGTAAATGCAGTCCAGGTTCACAGGTCTATTTAAGTGATGCTTAAATCCATAATCCACACACTGCCCTCTATTTTGCTAATCAGATTACTTAACTCCCATGGTAATTTAACTCCCATGAGTTCTCATCTATATTATTCATAGCCTATTCTATTTACCACCACAAACCGATGCTACCACTAAGACCGCACTCAACGAGCTGTATAAGGCCATAAGCAAGAAAATGCTCATCCAGAAATAGCGCTCCTAGTGGCCGGGGACTTTAATGCAGGCACATTTAAATCCGTTTTACCTCATTTCTACCAGCATGTCACGTGCAACCAGTGGAAAAACTACTCTAGACCACCTTTACTCTACACACAGAGACGCATACAAAGCTCTCCCTCGCCCTCCATTTGGCAAATCTGACCACAATTCTATCCTCCTGATTCCTGCTTACAAGCAAAAACTAAAGCAGGAAGTACCAGTGACTCGCTCTATACGGAAGTGGTCAGATGACGCAGATGCTACGCTACAGGACTGTTTTGCTAGCCAAGGCTGGAAAATTTTCCTGTATTCATCCAATGGCATTGAGGAGTATACCACCGGCTTCAGCAATAAGTGCATCGACGATGTCGTCCCCACAGTGGCCGTATGTACATATCCCAACCAGAAACCATGGATTACAGGCAACATCCGCATCGAGCTAAATGCTAGAGCTGCCACTTTCAAGGAGCGGGACACTAATCTGGACGCTTATAAGAAATCCCGCTACGCCCTCAGACGAACCATCAAACAGGCAAAGTGTCAATGCAGGATTAAGATTGAATCGTACTACACCGGCTCTGACGCTGGTCAGATGTGGCAGGGCTTGAAAACTATTACGGGAAACCCAGACGTGAGCTGCCCAGTGACGCGAGCCTACCAGACGAGATAAATGCCTTTTATGCTCGCTTCGAGGCAAGCAACACTGAAACATGCATGAGAGCACCAGCTGTTCTGGACGACTGTGTGAAAACGCTCTCGGTAGCCGATGTGAGCAAGACCTTTAAACAGGTTAACATTCACAAAGCCGCGGGGCCAGACTGATTACGAGGACGTGTACTCAGGTCATGCGCGGACCAACTGGCAAGTGTCTTCACTGAAATGTTCAACTTCTCCCTGACCGAGTTTGTAATACCTACATGTTTCAAGCAGACCACCATAGACCCTGTACCCAAGAAAGCGAAGGTAACCTGCCTAAATGATTACCGCCCCATAGCACTCACGTCGGTAGCCATGAAGTGCTTTGAAAGGCTGGTCATGGCTCACATCAACGGCATCATCCCGGATACCATAGACCCACTCCAATTCGCATACCACCCCAACAGATCCACAGATGACGCAATCTCAATCGCACTCCACACTACCCTTTCCCACCTGGACAAAAGGAACACCTATGTGAGAATGCTGTTCATTGACTACAGCTCAGCGTTCAACACCATAGTACCCACAAAGCTCATCACTAAGCCAAGGACCCTGGGACTAAACACCTCCCTCTGCAACTGGATGCTGGACTTCCTGATGGGCCGCCCCCATGTGGTAAGGGTAGGCAACAACATGTCTGCCACGCTGATCCTCAACACTGGGGCCCCTCAGGGGTGAGTGCTTAGTCCCCTCCTGTACTCCCTGTTTACCTACGACTGCGTGGCCAAACACGACTCCAACACCATCATTAAGTTTGCTGATGACACAACAGTGGTAGGCCTGATCCCCGACAATGATGAGACAGCCTATAGGGAGGAGGTCAGAGACCTGGCAGTGTGGTGCCAGGACAACAACCTCTCCCTCAATGTGAGCAAGACAAAGAAGCTGATCGTGGACTACAGGAAAAGGCCGGCCGAACAGGCCCCCATTAACATCGATGGGGCTGTAGTGGAGCAGGCCGAGAGTTTCAAGTTCCTTGGTGTTCACATCACCAACAAACTATCATGGTCCAAACACACCAAGACTGTCATGAAGAGGGCACGACAACACCTTTTCCCCCTCAGGAGACTGAAAACATTTGGCATGGGTCCTCAGATCCTCAAAACATTATACAGCTGCACCATCGAGAGCATTCTGACCAGTTGCATCACTGCCTGGTATGGCAACTGCTCGGCATCTGACCGTAAGGCTCTACAGAGGGTAGTGCGTACGGCCCAGTATATCACTGAGGCCAAGCTTCCTGCCATCCAGGACCTATATACTAGGCATTGTCAGAGGAAAGCCCAAAGAATTGTCAAAGACTCCAGTCACCCAAGTCATAGACTGTTCTCTCTGCTACCACATGGCAAGCGGTACCGGAGCGCCAAGTCTAGGTCCAAAAGGCTCCTTAACAGCTCCTACCCCCAAGCCATAAGACTGCTGAACAATTAATCAAATGGCCACCCGGACTATTTACATTGACCCCCGCATTTGTTTTTACACAGCTGCTACCCGCTGTCTATTATCTATGCATAGTCACTTTACCCCTACCTGCATGTACAAATTACCTCGACTAACCAGTACCCCCTGAACATTGACTCGGAACCGGTACCCCCTGTATATAACCTCGTTATTGTTATTTTGTGTTACTTTTTATTATTTTTTACTTTAGTTTATTTGGTAAATATTTTCATAACTCTTTCTTGAACAGCATTGTTGGTTAAGGGCTTGTAAGTAAGGATTTCACGGTAAGGTCTACACCTGTTGTATTCGGCGCATGTGACAAATAAAGTTTTATTTTATTTTAATTCTGGTCTATTCAGAGGTTAGCTTGTGTTGATATCCATGAGCTTGGTCAACCCTAATCCTCACACGTGGGGGACAGCCACTGTTCAGGGATATGGTGGATGAATGTCAGAGATGATGGCCACACAAGCTCAAAATATAGATTAAGGTTGAGCTCATCGTTAGCTAGCCAAGCTGAAAAGGACGGACGTAGGGTGTTCTGTAGGTTTAACCCAATCTCATGAACTGCACCAAAGACCCTAGTTTCAGACTCCTAATTATCCTTACACCTCTGAATACTCTAGCCACTTCTGCCAGAACCATACCACACTGCATCACACTGCTGGCTTGCCTCTGAAGCTAAGCAGGGTAGGTCCTGGTTGGTCCCTGGATGGGAGACCAAATGCTGTTGGAAGTGGTATTGGAGGACCAGTAGAAGGCACTCTTTTTTTTTTTTCCTCTGGTCAAAAAAATTATATACAGTGCATTCGGAAAGTATTCCGACCCCTTTACTTTTTTCCACATTTTGTTACGTTACAGCCTTATTCTAAAATGGATTAAATAGCTTTTTCCCCTCATCAATCAACACAGAATACCCCATAATGACAAAGCAAAAACAGGTTTTTATAAATGTTTGCAAATGTATTAAAAGTTAAAAACTCAAATTACATTTACATAAGTATTCAGACCCTTTACTCAGTACTTTGTTGAAGCACCTTTGGCAGCGATTACAGTCTCGAGCCTTCTTGGGTATGACGCTACATTAAAATGCAAATCAATTTATAACATTTTTTACATGCATTTTTCTGGATTTTTTTGTTGTTATTCTGTCTCTCACTGTTCAAATAAACCTACCATTACAATTATAGACTGATCATGTCTTTGTCAGTGGGCAAACGTACAAAATCAGCAGGGGATCAAATACCTTTTTCCCTCGCTGTATACTGAGATCATGTGACACTTAGATTGCACACAGGTGGACTTTATTTAACTAATTACATACACCTTAGCCAAATACATTTAAACTCTGTTTTTCACAATTCCTGACATTTAATCCAAGTAAAAATTCCCTGTCTTAGGTCAGTTAGGATCACCACTTTATTTTAAGAATGTGAAATGTCAGAATAATTGTAGAGAGAATGATTTATTTCAGCTTTTATTTCTTTCATCACATTCCAAGTGGTTCAGAAGTTTACATACACTCAATTAGTATTTGGTAGCATTGCCTTTTAAATTGTTTAACTTGGGTCAAACGTTTCGGGTAGCCTTCCACAAGCTTCCCACAATAAGTTGGGTGAATTTTGGCCCATTCCTCCTGACAGAGCTGGTGTAACTGAGTCAGGTTTGTAGGCCTCCTTGCTCGCACACACTTTTTCAGTTCTGCCCACAAATGTTCTATAGGATTGAGGTCAGGGCTTTGTGATGGCCACTCCAATACCTTGACTTTGTTGTCCTTAAGCCATTTTGCCACAACTTTGGAAGTATGCTTGGGGTCATTGTCCATTTGGAAGAACCATTTGCGACCAAGCTTTAACTTCCTGACTGATGTCTTGAGATGTTGCTTCAATATATCCACATAATTTTCCTTGCTCATGATGCCATCTATTTTGTGAAGTGCACCAGTCCCTCCTGCAGCAATGCACCCCAACAGCATGATGCTGCCACCCCCGTGCTTCACGGTTGGGATGGTGTTCTTCGGCTTGCAAGCAACCCCCTTTTTCCTCCAAACATAACGATGGTCATTATGGCCAAACAGTTATATTTTTGTTTCATCAGACCAGAGGACATTTCTCCAAAAAGTACGATCTTTGTCCCCATGTGCAGTTGCAAACTGTAGTCTGGCTTTTTTATGGCGGTTTTGGAGCAGTGGCTTCTTCCTTGCTGAGCGGCCTTTCAGGTTATGTCGATTTAGGACTCGTTTTACTGTGGATATATATACGTTTCCTCCAGCATCTTCACAAGGTCCTTTGCTGTTGTTCTGGGATTGATTTGCACTTTTCGCACCAAAGTACGTTCATCTCTAGGAGACAGAATGTGTCTCCTTCCTGAGCGGTATGACAGCTGCATGGACCCATGGTGTTTATACTTGCATACTATTGTTTGTACAGATGAACGTGGTACCTTCAGGCGTTTGGAAATTGCTCCCAAGGATGATGTCTTGGCTGATTTCTTTTCATTTTCCCATGATGTCAATTAAATAGGCGCTGAGTTTGAAGGTAGGCCTTGAAATACATCCACAGGTACATCTCCAATTGACTCAAATGATGTAAATTAGCCTATCAGAAGCTTCTAAAGCCATGACATCATTTTCTGGAATTTTCCAAGCTGTTTAAAGGCACAGTCAACTTAGTGTATGTAAACTTCTGACCAACTGGAATTGTGATACAGTGAATTATAAATGAAATAATCTGTCTGTAAACAATTGTTGGAAAAATTCCGTGGCATGCACAAAGTAGAGTTCCTAACCGACTTGCCAAAACTATAGTTTGTTAACAAGAAATTTGTGGAGTGGTTGAAAAACAAGTTTTAATGACTCCAACCTAAGTGTATGTAAACTTCAGACTTCAACTGTATGTGACTTCTGAAGGTAATTGGTTGCACCAGATCTTATTTAGGGGCTTCATAGCAAAGGGGGTGAATACATAAGCACGCACCACTTTTCCGTTATTTATTTTTTAGAAGTTATTTTTTTCATTTCACTTCACCAATTTGTACTATTTTGTGTATGTCCATTACATGAAATCCAAATAAAAATCCATTTAAATTACAGGTTGTAATGCGACAAAATAGGAAAAATGCCAAGGGGGATGAATACTTTTGCAAAGCACTATGTAAATAAGGTATTTCTGTTGATTTATTTTTACTAAATTTGCAAATACATTTTAAAACCTGTTTTCGCTTTCTCATTATGTGATATTGTGTGTAGATTGATAATAAATTACTTTTTTCAATCAATTTTAGAATAAGGCTGTAACGTAACAAAATGTGGAAAAAGTCAAGGGGTCTGAATACTTTCCTAATGCACTGAATGCCCCAGGGTAGTGATTGGGGACATTGCCCTGTGTCGGGTGCCGTCTTTCCAATGGGACGTTAAACGGATGTCCTGACTGTCTGTCGTCACTAAAAGATCCCAAGGCATTTATTGTAAGAGTAGGGGTGTTAACCCCGGTGTCCTGTCTAAATTCCCAATCTGGCCCTCGTACCATCATGGCCACCTAATCATCCCCAGCTTCCAAATGGCTCATTCATCCCCCCTCCTCTCCATTGTAACTATTTGAAATATTTGAAAGGCCTGTTTTGTCTGCATGCTGTTTTTTCACTGACAGATTTGCCACGCGTTTCCGACTGTAGACTATTCCTTGTTTTGGGCTACAATCCACAGCTAGGCCATTTTTTAAAATAAGCTATTGATCCTGTGTGGCTAAATTATAGGCCTTCTCATGGTGTAGTAGGCTATTCTGAATTATTTCATTTATTTCTGAACAGACAGCAGTAACTCTATAACTTTGGCAAATGTATTTAAATTAATCAGGGCGTTTCTATAAGGAAATAAATGATGAAGTGCAGCGCTGGTGAGATGATAATTGCAGGCTCATGTCTATCAGCAGAGAGGGAGCGAGATCATATAAAGTGAATCTCATTCTAGTTATGTGAGAGATACTGGCGCGCTTCTCACACAGCCACGGCCAGGTGTTGGTTTCAAATATAGGTTACAATGTTGCGCAAACCATAAACCCTGGCCGGCCCAACCCAAATCAACTCTTAGAATATTAGGCCCATGCTGAAAATCTACTTTTTCACGTAGTTTTTTTGTGGTTGCCGACTAATTAATGAAGAGGCAACTCAAATAAATGTTGATCTCTTTTGTTAGAATTTTCATGCCACGAGAGGTACCGGATCCGGACAGATAGGTTCCGGAACAAAACAGTCCAAAACGGAGAGGTGCCGGATCCTGTTCCGGCAGGATCTGGCTCAAATTAAGCACTGGATACTGAACAAAAATATAAACGCAACATGCAACAATTTCAAAGATTTTACTGAGTTACAGTCCATTTAAGGAAATCAGTCAATTGAAATAAATAAATTAGGCTCAGCCAGGCCCACCCACTGGGGAGCCAGGCCCAGCCAATCAGAATACGTTTTTCTCCACAAAAGGGATTTATTACAGACAGAAATACTCCTCAGTTTCATCAGCTGTCCAGGTGGCTGGTCTCAGATGATCCCGCAGGTGAATAAGCCGGATGTGGAGGTCCTGGCGTGGTTACACGTGGTCTGCGGTTGTGAGGCCGGTTGGACGTACTGCCAAATTTACATTTACATTTACATCATTTAGCAGACGCTCTTATCCAAAGCGACTTACAAATTGGTGCATTCACCTTATGGTAGCCAGTGGGACAACCACTTTACAATTTATTTATTAATTTTCTTTGTTTAATTTTTTTATTTCTAGAGTATATTTTTAATTTGTAATTGTTTTATTTATTTATATATATATAAATTAACACAAACAAATGTAATGATAAAAAAAATAAAAATATATATATATATATATTTTGTTCCTTTTTCTATTTTTTCTATCATTGCATTTGTTTTGTAATGTATTATTTTAATGTTTTATTGTCTTATTTTTTGTTTGTTTGTTCAGACTTCAACATACAGTTGAAGTCTGAAGTTTACATACACTTAGGTTGGAGTCATTAAAACTAGTTTTTCAACCACTCCACAAATTTCTTGTTAACAAACTATAGTTTTGGCAAGTCGGTTAGGAACTCTACTTTGTGCATGACAAGGAATTTTTCCAACAATTGTTTACAGACAGATTATTTCATTTATAATTCACTGTATCACAATTCCAGTTGGTCAGAAGTTTACATACACTAAGTTGACTGTGCCTTTAAACAGCTTGGAAAATTCCATAAAATGATGTCATGGCTTTAGAAGCTTCTGATAGGCTAATTTACATCATTTGAGTCAATTGGAGATGTACCTGTGGATGTATTTCAAGGCCTACCTTCAAACTCAGCACCTATTTAATTGACATCATGGGAAAATGAAAAGAAATCAGCCAAGACCTCATCCTTGGGAGCAATTTCCAAACGCCTGAAGGTACCACGTTCATCTGTACAAACAATAGTATGCAAGTATAAACACCATGGGATCATGCAGCTGTCATACCGCTCAGGAAGGAGACACGTTCTGTCTCCTAGAGATGAACGTACTTTGGTGCGAAAAGTGCAAATCAATCCCAGAACAACAGCAAAGGACCTTGTGAAGATGCTGGAGGAAACGTGTATATATATCCACAGTAAAACGAGTCCTATATCGACATAACCTGAAAGGCCGCTCAGCAAGGAAGAAGCCACTGCTCCAAAAAAGCCAGACTACAGTTTGCAACTGCACATGGGGACAAAGATCGTACTTTTTGGAGAAATGTCCTCTGGTCTGATGAAACAAAAATAGAACTGTTTGGCCATAATGACCATCGTTATGTTTGGAGGAAAAAGGGGGTTGCTTGCAAGCCGAAGAACACCATCCCAACCGTGAAGCACGGGGGTGGCAGCATCATGCTGTTGGGGTGCATTGCTGCAGGAGGGACTGGTGCACTTCACAAAATAGATGGCATCATGAGCAAATAAAATTATGTGGATATATTGAAGCAACATCTCAAGACATCAGTCAGGAAGTTAAAGCTTGGTCGCAAATGGTTCTTCCAAATGGACAATGACCCCAAGCATACTTCCAAAGTTGTGGCAAAATGGCAGCTGGGCCTCAGCTGGGGTGAAGTGCACGGCGAGGACGGTTCGAAACAGGCTCCTAGGGGCAGGGCTAAAGTAGCGCAAAGCTAGAAAAAAGCCCTTCATCAATGAGAAGCAAAGAAGAGCCAGGCTGAGGTTTGCAAAAGACCATAAGGATTGGACCAAAGAGGACTGGAGTAAGGTCATCTTCTCTGATGAGTCCAATTTTCAGCTTTGCCCAACACCTGGTCGTCTAATGGTTAGACGGAGACCTGGAGAGGCCTACAAGCCACAGTGTCTCGCACCCACTGTGAAATTTGGTGGAGGATCGGTGATGATCTGGGGGTGCTTCAGCAAGGCTGGAATCGGGTAGATTTGTCTTTGTGAAGGACGCATGAATCAAGCCACGTACAAGGTTGTCCTGGAAGAAAACTTGCTTCCTTTTGCTCTGACATTGTTCCCCAACTCTGAGGATTGGTTTTCCCAGCAGGACAATGCACCATGCCACACAGCCAGGTCAATCAAGGTGTGGATGGAGGACCACCAGATCAAGACCCTGTCATGGCCAGCCCAATCTCCAGACCTGAACCCCATTGAAAACTTCTGGAATGTGATCAAGAGGAAGATGGATGGTCACAAGCCATCAAACAAAGCCGAGCTGATTTAATTTTTGCGCCAGGAGTGGCATAAAGTCACCCAACATCAATGTGAAAGACTGGTGGAGCACATGCCAAGACGCATGAAAGCTGTGATTGAAAATCAGGGTTATTCCACCAAATATTGATTTCTGAACTCTTCCTAAGTTAAAACATTAGTATTGTGTTGTTTAAAATGAACATGAACTTATTTTCTTTGCATTATTCGAGGTCTGACAACACTGCATCTTTTTTGTTATTTTGACAAGTTGTCATTTTCTGCAAATAAATGCTCTAAATGACAATATTTTTATTTGGAATTTGGGTGAAATGTTGTCAGTAGTTTATAGAATAAAACATTTTTTTTTTTTTTTACCCAAACACATACCTATAAATAGTAAAACCAGAGAAACTGATAATCTTGCAGTGGTCTCTTAATTTTTTTTCCAGAGCTGTATATGTAACGGTGGGTAAGTGAGTGGGAGTCAGTGCAGAAATTTTAGAAGCAGGTGTGAAGAGTTCTGGTAAAATAAAATACTATTTGTCACATGCTTCACAAACAACAGGTGTAGACTAACAGTGAAATGCTTACTTACAGGTCCTTTTCCAACAATGCAGAGTTAAAGATTTAAAAAAATGAAATAGTGACGAGGAATAAATACACAGTGAATAATAGTAATGAGGAAAAACACATGGCTATATAATATACAGGTAGTACCAGTACCTAGTCGGTGTGCAGGGGTACGACGTAATTGAGGTAGCTATGTACATGTAGTAGGGGTAAAGTGACTAGGCTACAGGATAGATAATAGACAGTAGCAGCAGCGTATGTGGTGAAAGCGTGTGTGTTGGTGTCAGTGTAAGTATGTGTGGATGGAGTCCAACGTGTGTGCATAGTCGGTGCAAGAGAGTTAGTGCAAAAAAGGGTCAATGCAGGTAATCCGGGTAGCCATTTCATTAGCTATTTAGCAGTCTTGTTTAGCAGTCTTATGGCTTCGGGGTAGAAGCTGTTCAGTGTCCTGTTGGTTCCAGACACTGGTACCGCTTGCCGTGCAGTAGCAGAGAAAACAGTCTATGGCTTGGGTGGTTGGATTCTGACAATGTTTTGGGCCTTCCTCTGACACCGCCTGGTATAGAGGTCCTGGATGGCAGGGAGCTTGAAGTGATGTACTGGGCCGTACTCACCACCCCCTTTAGCGCCTTGCGGTTGGGTGCCTTGCAGTTGCCATACCAAGCGATGGTGCAGCCAGTCAAACTGCTCTCAATGGTGCAGCTGTAGAACTTTGAGGACCCATGCCAAATCTTTTCAGCCTCGTAATGGGGAAGAGGTGCTGTTGTGCCCTCTTCACAACTGTGTAGGTGTGTGTGGACCATGTTAATTCCTTAGTGATGTGGCCGCTGAGGAACTTTGTGCAATTGACCACAGACAATCACCTGCAATCAGATGTTCTGGGTAGGGCTGCAGTGGACATTAATGGTTGCTCTGGTTTTCGTTCTGACGGAGCCTTTTCTCCCCATAAGTACACTTGACCCTTCTTCTCCGGTCTACTGATGCAATCAGTTATTAAAAATGCATCGGGGTCCTCTGGGTCTGTCTCCACATCAGACATCATGTCTTCAGTTTCCCCCGCAAATAGCTGCTTTTCTTCAGCAGAGAATTATTTTGACCAACGGGCCAGAGCCTGTGAAATTACAGGAGACTAAGTTATTCTGCCCAATAAACAAACGGTCTTGAACACTGGAATAAAAAAAAGCTAAAGAAGCACACACACACACCAAAAGCTGTGGAACAAGCCTCAACTTTTCAAAATTCAGTACTGGCATTTAAAATGTATGAATTGGTTTACATTTATAAACTAACCCGTCTCTGGCGACACCGCCGTCGCTTTTTGATGTCCGTTCCTTTGCTCTGTCTGGGGTGTCCAACGACGTATGCCTCTTTCAATCCAATACCAATTTGCAGCTGCATCTGAGGAGTCGGTGTGGTTTATTAGCAATGGTTATATGCATCAAAATCCTTGAGAAAATTGTAAAATGTAGAATTATGTTAGTCAGTCCATGTCTTTAGGAGACTACTCACCTTCAAAATCTGCCATGCGCTACTCTCCATCTGTGTGCCTTAATCCCAGTATACAGGTGTTGTTCGGACTGTTCTTCCTGAGACATGCATGACATTTAAGTTTATGGATGATATTCACACCTCTATTTCATGTAACATATTTGAGAATGCTAAGATAACCATCATACAACTTACAGATAGCTCATTCCGTCTTCCTCGAAGAACGCCAGTTCCGGTGCAGGCGCTGGAGGAGTGCTCTGCTGTAGCTGCTGCTGTTGTTGGAATAGTTGAGCTACTTGTCAGCCTTTCGTTCATATCAGCCACTGTGTGGTAGTCCGGCATCTGATTCAGCCTGGCCATGAGTTGTTGGAAATCCATGCTCTCGTTTGGTGATGCGTCGTTCCCTCGCATGAAGCGGCTCCTGGCGGGCCCACTGGTCCCACAAACTAATTAAATAAATTGTATTTGTTGTTGTCAATAGCCGCTTGTCTCCTTTGCTTTATTTTACTAGGCTTGTAAGAATAGCTGCTACCAATCTATCCGTTCTTCCACCAACGTTGGGTAGCTAACATAAGCCAACTATACTTTGGTAGCTAGCTAGCATGACCATTTAGTGACACTAGTTACACACCTCTATGAATAGTTAAGCTATTAATTATTTCCAGTCCAAAATCCCTCAAGGGCTGTAACTGAATAGCCCTGACCTACAGCATGTCTCCGTCCTTGCCCAACTTCAGCTTTCTAATAATCTGTTTATGACCTATGTGTCTCTATAACCTGTCTATGACCTCATGTCATCTCACCAGCCCGCTCCTTGGGTTCGGTGGCCCTGCGGAAAGCTGAGGCCCTGGAGGGTGGGGTCCACCTCAATGTGTTTACCATCGACTTCAACGAGGAGCTGGTGGCCCTGTATGGAGGCAGCCTGCACCGGCAGACCCAATTCTTGCACGAGAGCATCAAGGCCATCCTGCGCCTCTACAAGGTACAGTGCATTCAGAAAGTATTCAGACCCCTTGACTTTTTACAGCCTTATTCTAAAATCTATTTTAATAATAATAATAATAATAATAATAATAATAATAATAATTCTCATCAATATACACACACTACCCCATAATGACAAAGCAAAAACAGGTTTATAAAAAAAACGGAAATATCACATTTACATAAGTATTCAGACCCTTTACTCAGTACTTTGTTGAAGCACTTTTGGCAGCGATTACAGCCTCAAGTCTTCTTGGGTATGACACTACAAGCTTGGCACACCTGTATTTGGGGAGTTTCTCCCATACTTCTCTGCAGATCCTCTCAAGCTCTGTCAGGTTGGATGGGGAGTGTCGCTGCACAGCTATTTTCAGGTCTCTCCAGAGATGTTCGATCGGGTTCAAGTCTGGGCTCTGGCTGGGCCACTCATAGACATTCAGACTTGTCCCGAAGCCACTCCTGGGTTGTCTTGGCTGTGTGCTTAGGGTCGTTATACTGTTGGAAGATAAACCTTTACTCCAGTCTGAGGTCCTGAGAGCAGGTTTTCATCAAGGATCTCTCTGTACTTTGCTCCGTTCATCTTTCCCTCAATCCTGACTAGTCAAGAGTGTGCAAAGCTGTCATCAAGGCAAAAGATGGCTACTTTGAAGAATCTCAAATATTGTTGTTACTTTTTGGTTACTACATGATTCCATATGTGTTATTTCATAGTTTTGATGTCTTCACCATTATTCTACAATGTAGAAAATAGTAAAAATAAAGAAAAACCCTGGAATTAGTAGGTGTGTCCAAACTTTTGACTGGTACATTTTTCATTTACGTCATTTAGCAGACGCTCTTATCCAGAGCGACTTACAGGAGCAATTAGGGTTAAGTGCCTTGCTTAAGGGTACATCGACAGATTTTTCACCTAGTCGGCTCGGGGATTAGAACCAGCGACCTTTCGGTTACTGGCACAACGCTCTTACCCACTAAGCTACCTGCTGGTAGTGTGTGTGTGTGTGTGTGTGTGTGTGTGTGTGTGTGTGTGTGTGTGTGTGTGTGTGTGTGTGTGTGTGTGTGTGTGTGTGTGTGTGTGTGTGTGTGTGTGTGTGTGTGTGTGTGTGTGTGTGTGTGTGTGTGTGTGTGTGTGTGTGTGTGTGTGTACACACACACACACACAGTGGGGAGAACAAGTATTTGATACACTGCCGATTTTGCAGGTTTTCCTACTTACAAAGCATGTAGAGGTCTGTAATTTTTATCATAGGTACACTTCAACTGTGAGAGACGGAATCTATAACAATAATCCAGAAAATCACATTGTATGATTTTTAAGTAATTAATTAGCATTTTATTGCATGACATAAGTATTTGATCACCTACCAACCAGTAAGAATTCCGGGACTCACAGACCTGTTAGTTTTTTCTTTAAGAAGCCCTCCTGTTCTCTACTCATTACCTGTATTAACTGCACCTGTTTGAACTCGTTACCTGTATAAAAGACACCTGTCCACACACTCAGTCAAACAGACTCCAACCTCTCCACAATGACCAAGACCAGAGAGCTGTGTAAGGACATCAGGGATAAAATTGTAGACCTACACAAGGTTGGGATGGGCTACAGGACAATAGGCAAGCAGCTTGGTGAGAAGGCAACAACTGTTGGCGCAATTATTAGAAAATGGAAGAAGTTCAAGATGACGGTCAATCACCCTCGGTCTGGGGCTCCATGCAAGATCTCACTTTGTGGGGCATCAATGATCATGAGGAAGGTGAGGGATCAGCCCAGAACTACACGGCAGGACCTGGTCAATGACCTGAAGAGAGCTGGGACCACAGTCTCAAAGAAAACCATTAGTAACACACTACGCCATCATCGATTAAAATCCTGCAGCGCATGCAAGTCCCCCTGCTCAAGCCAGCGCATGTCCAGGCCCATCTGAAGTTTGCCAATGACCATCTGGATGATCCAGAGGAGGAATGGGAGAAGGTCATGTGGTCTGATGAGACAAAAATAGAGCTTTTTGGTCTAAACTCCACTCGCCGTGTTTGGAGGAAGAAGAAGGATGAGTACAACCCCAAGAACACCATCCCAACCGTGAAGCATGGAGGTGGAAACATCATTCTTTGGGGATGCTTTTCTGCAAAGGGGACAGGACGACTGCACCGTATTGAGGGGAGGATGGATGGGGCCATGTATCGCGAGATCTTGGCCAACAACCTCCTTCCCTCAGTAAGAGCATTGAAGATGGGTCGTGGCTGGGTCTTCCAGCATGACAATGACTCGAAACACACAGCCAGGGCAACTAAGGAGTGGCTCCGTAAGAAGCATCTCAAGGTCCTGGAGTGGCCTAGCCAGTCTCCAGACCTGAACCCAATAGAAAATCTTTGGAGGGAGCTGAAAGTCCGTATTGCCCAGCGACAGCCCTGAAACCTGAAGGATCTGGAGAAGGTCTGTATGGAGGAGTGGGCCAAAATCCTTGCTGAAGTGTGTGCAAACCTGGTCAAGACCTACAGGAAACGTATGATCTCTGTAATTGCAAACAAAGGTTTCTGTACCAAATATTAAGTTCTGCTTTTCTGATGTATCAAATACTTATGTCATGCAATAAAATGCAAATGAATTACTTAAAGATCATACAATGTGATTTTCTGGATTTTTGTTTTAGATTCCGTCTCTCACAGTTGAAGTGTATCTATGATAAAAATGACAGACCTCTACATGCTTTGTAAGTAGGAAAACCTAGAAAATCGGCAGTGTATCAAATACTTGTTCTCCCCACTGTGTGTGTGTGTGTGTGTGTGTATGTATATATATATATATGTGTGTATGTATATGTGTGTGTTAACCAAAAGTGGCTAACAACTTATTTACACCCAACTCTAAATCAACTCCTACCCCCTAGTCACTTGTCTGAGAGGGCAGGTGAAGTTATATTGCTTTTACTATCCAATCCTCTCAGATACCTGAAAGTACGTAGGGGCTAAGGATCCATTTGGGATTGGGCATTAGACTGATAAACCAAACCCCACACCTCGCTCTTTCTCCACAGGACCATGAAGCCCCCCCTCGTAGTGTGGTGTTGGTGGGTCACTCCATGGGGGGAGTGGTGGCCCGAGCCCTCTTCACCCTGCCCCGCTTCAGCCCTCGCCTGGTCAGCCTCATCATCACCCAGGCCTCCCCTCATCAGGCCCCCATTCTGTCCCTCGACACACACTTACTGGGTATGGAGCATGTTTACCTTGATTTGGTTTAAGCAAATTATGTACCTGTTATAAAGTTATTATGAATTATTTATGTATCTCTACTAGGGCCTACAAAGTATAGTAACCTCCAGCACTCTGATCTGTCTGTATTAAACTCTTCTTCTCTCTCCTTCTCTGTGTGTGTAGAGTTCTACGCTGCTGTGAGACAGTGCTGGGTGGATCGGGCAGAGGACCTGCGCAACGTGACACTTCTCTCCGTGGGGGGTGGTTACCGTGACTACCAGGTGCGCTCCGGCCTCACGGCCCTGCCCTGCCCCCAGGACGACCCCAGCAAGCTGTCTCTGGTGGTAAGACTCAACTAAGTCAGTTACTCCTGCATACACATTTTACAGGTTTTATGTATGTGCATTTATCTTGTTGACGTTTTAGTCAAGTCGAGCCTTGTGAACTGCTATAGGCTCTGTAACTGTTCTATCACAAGCAAAAAAAGTAATCATTTTTAAATGTGCCTCAAAGCAAAATTAGTTAGCCACAGGCCAAATAACAATATAATTTTCATTGATCGGCCAGATACATTTAGGCCTAGATTCAATCTGTAGGGTGGAAGATCTGCGCTATAGCGCGATTTAAATCTAAAGGTAATTTTCCCATGAATGTGGAGGCTGCATTCATGGTAAACGCTGCATATGTCGGCTAATCGGAAATTACCTTTACATTTCAATCACGCTGTAACACGGATCTTCCGCGCCACGCATTGAATCTAGCCCTTAGACAGCCCCAAGTCCTTCAGCCTTGTATACAATTTCAAACTGATAGTGTTAATACACTTTTCTGTTTTTCGTTTATGAAGGCTACAGCTATTCCTAGGACCTGGGTGTCCACGGACCACCTGTCCATTGTTTGGTAAGTAGAGGAATTTGATTTTGCTTGGTTGATGTAATCTAAAGACCTTCGTACGTAAACATGTCATTTGTTTATTGTGTTTGTGTTCCAGGTGCAAAGAGCTGGTTCTGGCCACTGTGCGGGCTTTCTTTGACCTCATTGAACCTGAAATAGGACAGGTAGGTATCACACTGGCTCACTAAACTGGAAACCAGGGCCTCCATGACTGATCTCAAAAACATAGGATAGGGGATGGCAACATTTTGGATGCCATTTGGGCATTTGCTTCCAACTATCCAGTACTTTCACATCAGTGCATATGAAGGAAAGGAGACCGAGAGAAACCCTTTGTAGACTAAATGTACACCAGGATTGTGGCCGTATCCTCTTTTCCAACAAATCCTACAGTGTATAGCTTACTTTCCTAATTGATCTGAGTTTGATACGTGAAAGAATTAGTCTAGAATCTTGTCCAATCCCTATCAAGTCTTAGTGGCCGTGAAGAAAAGGAGGCCCTGTAAGAGAATTGGAACACTGCCTGTCTGTCTATTGAAGTTGGTAAGTATATCGATGTGCCTTTTTACCAGTTTTCAGATGATCCAGAGAGGAGAATGGCTGTCCTGAACCATCACTTTATCAGACACCCTGTGCGTCTGCTGGGTGAGCAGCTAAAGATGCCCATCTCCCTCTCAGGTCAGCGAGTTAAAGTGCTAGGCCATTTCATCATCTGGATGTCTGTCAGCCTGTCCGTCTGTGCCTGGCCTGTGTGTATTTTGGGGTGAGGACTGGACTGTGTGTTTGTGCGTGTGTTTTGTAGTAGCGCTGGACTGTGTGGGACTATATGTCACTTTTTAGGCTGTATGTCACTTACAGTACGTGTGTGACCGTACTCCTCCTCTTCCACACATTCTCCAGGATCTCCTGAAGCGTGGAGTGAGGTGAACACACTCCGTCTGGCATACAGTGCCCCCAAAGTAAGCCATTAAGCTGTATGTCACTTACAGTACATGTGTGTGTGATCGCTCTCCTCCTCTTCCACACATTCTCCAGGATCTCCTGAAGCGTGGAGTGAGGTGAACACACTCCGTCTGGCGTACAGTGCCCCCAAAGTACACCATTACGTCCTGGGCGAGGTCCATTTTGGTCCACAGACCCTTCACTTAGCTCCTATCACTTTGGTCTTCACAGACCTAAAAGGACCGGATAGTTGTAAACAATGCGATGATTGTGCCACCTAGTCTTCCATTGTGTCACCTAGCCTTCCAATAGGCTAAGTTGAGCTTCTGGGGTCGGTTGCTCCAGTTCGGCGTAATAAAATGGGTCTTAAATGCTAGGTTTGGGCGTAGCTACGTCTGACTTTGTGATCAGAATATACACCTGTTGCACCAACCAAAAATAAGACTAGTCATACCTAAGTCCGGGTTAAGCAATGCGCGTTCATGAAATTTGATGCTTCATCATAATGATGGTTGCTAGGCAGCGCACATTACTCGGCTGTTACCATCCTCGTGGCAGTTCCAAACTTTGCGATGCATGTTTTCTTAACCACAACTGGATGGATCAGTAAATAATTACTGTGGGAATTAATATCACTGAATGATGGAACTATTAGAATAAAGTAGGCTAATGCCATTGAAGACATGTATGAAATTGTTGCTTCCTGAAACTCCCAAAGTCATCCAACCATTTTAAAGAATTGAAAGCGATAGCCGCGTGTGGTCAACTATAATTTCAGCAACGGTTTGATTGAGACAAGCGTGGGGACTCGTCTTGATGAATCAATCAATGTCAGATTTTAGTTTTCAATAAATCTCTGTTTGGATAGCCTATTTGGTTACAATTATGTTGGGAAAATGTTAGTGAGTGCTCATGATTATAATCTTTAGTCTAGTTTGCTGATCTAGGCTATTCGCACTGATAATAATATTTTGCTAGCATGTTATATGTAGCCTAGTATAACAAGTGGATTGCTTTTCACTCGTTTAGTAGCCATTATCCTGACCAAAAGCCGTAGACTTGTTTGATAATCAGTCAATATGATTTTGTTTCACTGAATCTCTCTGTAGGCTAGTAATATTTGGTTATTTGATCTCTGGCTGGACAAATAAGTGGAGGTGGTAGCTCATCTATTAGTTTGCTGATCTATTACTGATCAGACACATTTAGCTCGCTATAATGTAGCATTAATCAAGTGTATTATTTTGCTATTGACTTGCGCATAGGCAACTCCAAAAAGCCTGCGGAGGTTGTGAAAGTATGAACACGAGACTCGCATACATACTTTTGAAAATGTAGATGACTATTATTTTCTATGGGTATCATGCTGAAGATGGTCCCAATTTAACACCCTACGGTTGCTCCCTACTAGGTGGTGCAATGGGTGGTGTAATGGGTATACTTTGTAGGTTTGGTGTAAAGCGCATTTTAGGTAGGATTTAGAGTTGCGACCAACTGGTGCAACCGGCCCCTGGCCCCAGATGGAGCTGGGTCTTGATAGACCATAACATCATTTACAGATCTGTGCCTTCTGAAAATATGACTGAGTTATTATTCCTTTGCTCTGCAGGATGGACAAGCCAAGTATTTCCTGTTTGCCCTCTCCAGTCGCAGGAAAGCCTACAGCCACTTCTACTGTCGCAGCAACAACATGGTGAGACTAAGATGGCAGCTCTGCTGCTTTTAGGGCATTCATACCAGTATACAATATGTGCTCTTGTGATAACACAGTTTATGGATCCCGCTTCTGCCACCATGAGTAAAACTTATCAAATGATGAAGTCCGCAAGTTAAGAACACAGTTTATGAACACACATCTTTTTATGTATAAGGTGAATCTTGCGAGCATAATACTATGTAATTTGTGAGACTACCGAGCCAATGTTTTCAGTCCCCTGATCTCCAACAGGAAATGACTAGCTGGGTTTATGGTTGCACACAGATGAAGGGATCCATGTGGTGAGTACTGGCAATGTCAGACATGCACTCTTTCCCCCTGTTTTGTCTTCTTTATCTCTGCTTCAGCTTTTATTGCTTGCTCTTTCTGACATTTGACAGACCATTCTTTTCCTCTTTCTCGCTCTCTATCCATGCTCCTTCTCTTCATCTTTTCTCCTTCCGTCGCTGTCTCTGACTGTACTCTCCTTCCCCCAGTGTGCAGGCAGTGGATCTGTCTTTGGGAACAGAGCTTCTCCCAGCTTACAAGGTAAGCATTCACTTCTCATATTTACACAATCTCAACATATTATGGGTTAGTCAGTTCTTTGAACCACTTTTGCTTCATGTTTTTTGTGTTGATGTACTGTCTGTATGTCTGCTTTTTCTCTGTTTTTGATTTGTTTCTTGTTTTTTATTAATTGTAATTTTCTCTGTAAAGTGTGTTGAGTCTTGTGAAATGCACTTCAAATATATTGTGACTTGACTTTACACTGCACTCAAACAGTGTAGACCAAAACAAAATAAATAATATATAAGTGTAAATAATAAATAAGTATTTCCCTCTCCTCCCAGGTTCTGACTCTGAGGCTCAGAGTGCTGTCCTCTGTCTCTCACCTCGTTGTGGCTGCCTCTAACCTCAACGGTAGACAGGTACATTGTGTGCACCCATTTAACCCAAAGCAATGTTTCATTCCTAAATACCACTTTCAATTTTGTTAGCACTTTATATATATATATATATATATTCACTGCTCAAAAAAATAAAGGGAACACTTAAACAACACATCCTAGATCTGAATGAATGAAATAATCTTATTAAATACTTTTTTCTTTACATAGTTGAATGTGCTGACAACAAAATCACACAAAAATTATCAATGGAAATCAAATGTATCAACCCATGGAGGTTTGGATTTGGAGTCACACTCAAAATTAAAGTGGGAAAACCACACTACAGGCTGATCCAACTTTTATGTAATGTCCTTAAAACAAGTCAAAATGAGGCTCAGTAGTGTGTTTGGCCTCCACGTGCCTGTATGACCTCCCTACAACGCCTGGGCATGCTCCTGATGAGGTGGCGGATGGTCTCCTGAGGGATCTCCTCCCAGACCTGGACTAAAGCATCCACCAACTCCTGGACAGTCTGTGGTGCAACGTGGCGTTGGTGGATGGAGCGAGACATGATGTCCCAGATGTGCTCAATTGGATTCAGGTCTGGGGAACGGGCGGGCCAGTCCATAGCATCAATGCCTTCCTCTTGCAGGAACTGCTGACACACTCCAGCCACATGAGGTCTAGCATTGTCTTGCATTAGGAGGAACCCAGGGCCAACCGCACCAGCATATGGTCTCACAAGGGGTCTGAGGATCTCATCTCGGTACCTAATGGCAGTCAGGCTACCTCTGGCGAGCACATGGAGGGCTGTGCGGCCCCCCAAAGAAATGCCACCCCACACCATGACTGACTTACCGCCAAACCGGTCATGCTGGAGGATGTTGCAGGCAGCAGAACGTTCTCCACGGCGTCTCCAGATTCTGTCACGTCTGTCACATGTGCTCAGTGTGAACCTGCTTTCATCTGTGAAGAGCACAAGGGCGCCAGTGGCGAATTTGCCAATCTTGGTGTTCTCTGGCAAATGCCAAACGTCCTGCACGGTGTTGGGCTGTAAGCACAACCCCCACCTGTGGACGTCGGGCCCTCATACCGCCCTCATGGAGTCTGTTTCTGACCGTTTGAGCAGACACATGCACATTTGTGGCCTGCTGGAGGTCATTTTGCAGGGCTCTGGCAGTGCTCCTCCTGCTCCTCCTTGCACAAAGGCGGAGGTAGCGGTCCTGCTGCTGGGTTGTTGCCCTCCTACGGCCTCCTCCACGTCTCCTGATGTACTGGCCTGTCTCCTGGTAGCGCCTCCATGCTCTGGACACTACGCTGACAGACACAGCAAACCTTCTTGCCACAGCTCGCATTGATGTGCCATCCTGGATGAGCTGCACTACCTGAGCCACTTGTGTGGGTTGTAGACTCTGTCTCATGCTACCACTAGAGTGAAAGCACCACCAGCATTCAAAATTGACCAAAACATCAGCCAGGAAGCATAGGAACTGAGAAGTGGTCTGTGGTCACCACCTGCAGAACCATTCCTTTATTGGGGGTGTCTTGGTAATTGCCTATAATTTCCACCTGTTGTCTATTCCATTTGCACAACAACATGTGAAATGTATTGTCAATCAGTGTTGCTTCCTAAGTGGACAGTTTGATTTCACAGAAGTGTGATTGACTTGGAGTTACATTGTGTTGTTTAAGTGTTCCCCTTATTTTTTTGAGCAGTGTATATACAGTGGGGAGAACAAGTATTTGATACACTGCCGATTTTGCAGGTTTTCCTACTTACAAAGCATGTAGAGGTCTGTAAATTTTATCATAGGTACACTTCAACTGTGAGATACGGAATCTAAAACAAAAATCCAGAAAATCACATTGTATGATTTTTAAGTAATTAATTTGCATTTTATTGCATGACATAAGTATTTGATACATCAGAAAAGCAGAACTTAATATTTGGTTCAGAAACCTTTGTTTGCAATTACAGAGATCATACGTTTCCTGTAGGTCTTGACCAGGTTTGCACACACTGCAGCAGGGATTTTGGCCCACTCCTCCGTACAGACCTTCTCCAGATCCTTCAGGTTTCGGGGCTGTCGCTGGGCAATACGGACTTTCAGCTCCCTCCAAAGATTTTCTATTGGGTTCAGGTCAGGAGACTGGCTAGGCCACTCCAGGACCTTGAGATGCTTCTTACGGAGCCACTCCTTAGTTGCCCTGGCTGTGTGTTTCGAGTCGTTGTCATGCTTGAAGACCCAGCCACGACCCATCTTCAATGCTCTTACTGAGGGAAGGAGGTTAATGGCCAAGATCTCGCGATACATGGCCCCATCCATCCTCCCCTCAATACGGTGCAGTCGTCCTGTCCTCTTTGCAGAAAAGCATCCCCAAAGAATGATGTTTCCACCTCCATGCTTCACGGTTGGGATGGTGTTCTTGGGGTTGTACTCATCCTTCTTCTTCCTCCAAACACGGCGAGTGGAGTTTAGACCAAAAAACTATATTTTTGTCTGATCAGACCACATGACCTTCTCCCATTCCTCCTCTGGATCATCCAGATGGTCATTGGCAAACTTCAGACGGGCCTGGACATGCGCTGGCTTGAGCAGGGGGACCTTGCGTGCGCTGCAGGATTTTAATCCATGACGGCGTAGTGTGTTACTAATGGTTGTCTTTGAGACTGTGGTCCCAGCTCTCTTCAGGTCATTGACCAGGTCCTGCCGTGTAGTTCTGGGCTGATCCCTCACCTTCCTCATGATCATTGATGCCCCACAAGGTGAGATCTTGCATGGAGCCCCAGACCGAGGGTGATTGACCGTCATCTTGAACTTCTTCCATTTTCTAATAATTGCGCCAACAGTTGTTGCCTTCTCACCAAGCTGCTTGCCTATTGTCCTGTAGCCCATCCCAGCCTTGTGCAGGTCTACAATTGTATCCCTGATGTCCTTACACAGCTCTCTGGTCTTGGCCATTGTGGAGAGGTTGGAGTCTGTTTGATTGAGTGTGTGGACAAGTGTCTTTTATACAGGTAACGAGTTCAAACAGGTGCAGTTAATAGAGGTAATGAGTGGAGAACAGGAGGGCTTCTTAAAGAAAAACTAACAGGTCTGTGAGAGTCGGAATTCTTACTGGTTGGTAGGTGATCAAATACTTATGTCATGCAATAAAATGCAAATTAATTACTTAAAAATCATACAATGTGATTTTCTGGATTTTTGTTTTAGATTCCATCTCTCACAGTTGAAGTGTACCTATGATAAAAATTACAGACCTCTACATGCTTTGTAAGTAGGAAAACCTGCAAAATCGGCAGTGTATCAAATACTTGTTCTCCCCACTGTATACTGTGTGTGTTTATATAGAGATTTTTCTCAATGGTAGCGCCATCCATATGCATAGCACTGGTTAACAAATGGGAAGAGAGGTAGAGAAACTCTTGTAGTGCCATTCGTGTGTATCTCTTCTACTCTGTGTCCCACAGTTCACAGTGGAGTGTGAGTGGCAGAGACAGGAGTCTCAGACCATCTCTGTGCAAGTACCACACGTTCTGTCCTTTGGTGAGTCCACCTTTTCTCTAATTCCTCCCTGTAAAAAGTAAGTTTTGCATCTTTATCATCATTCTCTAAGTCTGGTGTGTCGGAAATATGTATTTTGGTCGGTTTATTTAGCAAGAACTAGTTTGTTAAGTGTACTGAATTTGTTGAGGGGTAGTATAGATTTGTATCCATCTGTTGATATTTCTTATTCGGTGGGCAACACTGGCTTCCTATGGTTTAACTCTGTGGGTCCTCTCTTGTTCAGGCATGACTGTTAGTGATGTCACTCTCAACTCCACCGGACTTCTGCACACCATTGAACTGCAGCATTTTCACCAGGTAAGCCTATCTGAATTATATGTTTATATAATAAGGTTGGTCAATTAATTATCCACTACTTGCAGTCAGTACATTCTATCAGGAGCCTGAACAACGACAACAACCTACATACAGTACTGGCAGAACAAGACAAAGATATTTGGTCTTAAAAAAAACGTATGCACTCACTAACTGTAAGTCGCTCTGGATAAGAGCGTCTGCTAAATGACTAAAATGTAAAAATGTAATACTTACTGACCTCTGTATCATCAGGTCTATCAGGCGTTCAGAATCTCAGTCGTAAGCCACTGCAAAGTAACCAAAGCAGGTAAGCAGAGGTCTACAGTTTTGCAGGAGCACATTTTTAGTAACTGATAGGATGCGTGTTTGTTTTTGACAGTAGTGTTTTGGTTGACAGCTGCTCTTAATCACCTCAATAAATTCCATAGTTGTTTTGCATTAGGCTCAGTGATGTCATTTTGGTATAGTGTATGATTTTGGTAATGGTTTAAAATGCAAACATACTAGTAATGTTGGATTTAGTGATGTCATTGTCTCTATGTATAGACAGACTGCCCAGTGTCTACAGAATGAAGGTGCCATGGTTTAGGGAGGACTCGGTTACCACGTCCAGGTAAGAGCTTACCCCCTGTCCGTCCATCTATCTGTCTGTCTGTCCATTCCTATGGCATTTGGCTATTTTTATATTTAATATATTTACTGGTAACTCAATGGAAAACGTATTAAACTTAAACTTTTTATTTGGTCTATCCCTCTGCATGTCTCTTCAGTGTTCCCTCGGTAACAGAGATATCGGGCATGCTCCATACAAGTCGTCCTGACAACACCTCTGGTGTCCTGCTGCAGCTCCACACTGCCCCCAACTGCCAGTATAAGGTACTGCCCACAGAATTAGATAGGATACTTTTGTTAATGTGTGTTATCTCTACATGGTATTGCCCATTAGTGTGAGGCATTGGACCCCGATAAAGGCTTCATGCTGAAACAAGTGGTTTTTAAAGCAATTTTTATTGAACTTCCCATTTTCTCAAAAAATTGGCTCAATCTCCCTTTCTCATCCCTCCCAGGTATCTGTGAGAACATCATTTCCCAGAGTGCTGGGACAGGTAAGACCCATACTCTCTACCCTCAGCTCTCAACCTTTCATACAGAGTTACTAGTGTAGTAGTAGTCCAGGGTCATTTAGCTTTGTGTTTAACAGAGGAAAATGTGCTTAATTCAAACACACCAATATTACTAATTGGCTAACTAACAAAGGGCTGGATTCAATCCGTATTTCAATCAAGCTATAACGCGGATCTCCCGCGATACGGATTGAATCCAGCCCTTACTTTCTTCCCTGCTGTCCTTCCAGGTTCTGAGGTTCTGTGGGCCCGTGTTGCCTGTGTACACGGCTGTAGCGCTCCTACTGGCCTGTGGGGGGCAGATGTCCTCTGTGGTGAGGACGGGGCACCCCCTACAGATGAGCCAGGCCGTGGCCAGAGCCCTGCAGCCCCACAAGGTGGACCTACCCGTCTACCTGCTGCATCTGCTGCTCAGGTAGAACTATTATTCATACACAAATGCATGTGCACTCACACACTGTGAAAGACCACTCGTATTACATCAAACCACACAAAGTCCCTCCTTCCTCCATCCCTTTATTTGTATCCAGGTGTAACTGGTTCCGGGATAGTTGGTCCACTCATCTCCCACCCTTAGACGCTCTCCCTGCCACCTCCCCAGATGGTACGACACAGGAGGGGGTGCCCCCAAATGAAGACTGGCCACGCCTCCTGTCCCCCCTGCTGTATGTTTTGGGAGCGGCTGTGGCTTTCTGGGGCAGCGCGCTGCTCCGACTCTCTCTACAGCTGCTCTCGTTGTTATTAGCCCCCCTGCACAGGTAATGCCCCGCCCCCTCATGAATTATATTTAACTAAATTGAATGCAATTGGAATTCGGTGAATCTAGTATGCGTGTGTGTGTGTGTGTGTGTTTAATACATTTAATTGAATTATAATGAGTTTTTTAGCATTTTATTAAGATCCCCATTAGCAGCTGCCAAAGTAACCGCTACTCTTCCTGGGGACCAAAAACAACACATCACAACAAAACGATAATCTACATCAGGGCTATTCAACTATATTCTTACAGGGGTCATATTTGAAAAAGGTTATTTACAGCGGGGCCAGAAATCTTCTACATGGGATTACACTTCCTAAAACCGGTATCAAAAACAATGCACAAACACAATTATAATCTTATAAAGCACTTTTATCAAAGTTAAATATTGCTAAAAGTTAATTTGATTTGTTTTAAGATTAGCCTAATTCAGTGCATCAAATTATTTAAATAATAGAACACATTTGTACTTATAACACAGTTGACCTACATCACATTAATTCATTTCTACTTTCCTGTCCGTTTTACATACAGTGCCTTGACTCTTTCCACATTTTGTTTATACAAAGTGGGATTAAAATGGATTTAATTGTAATTTTTGGTCAACGATCTACACAAAATACTCTAATGTCAAAGTGGAAGAAAAATTCTAACGTTTATAAAACATTGATGAAAAATAAAACCCTAATGTATCTTGATTAGATAAGTATTCACCCCCCTGAGACAATACATGTTATAAATCACCTTTGGCAGCGATGACAGCTGTGTTTTTTTGGGGTAAGTCGCTAAGAGCTTTTGCACACCTGGATTGTACAATATTTGCACATTATTCTTTTAAAGATTCTTCAAGCTCTGTCAAGTTGGCTGGTGATCATTGCTAGAAACCCATTTTCAAGTCTTGCCATAGATTTAAGCTGATTTAAGTCAACTAACTAGGCCACTCAGGAACATTCAGCGTCGTCTTGGTAAGCAACTCCAGTGTAGATTTGGCCTCGTGTTTTAGGTTATTTTCCTGCTGACAGGTGAATTAATCTCCCAGTGTCTGATGGAAAGCAGACTGAACCAGGTTTTCCTCTAGGATTTTGCCTGCGTTTAGCTTTCTTGCGTTTCTTTTTATGCTAAAACAAACTCCCTAGTCCTTGCCAATGACAAGCATACCCATAACATGATGCAGCCACCTCCATGCTTGAAAAAGTGGTACTCAGTGATGTGTTGTATTGGATTTGCCCCAAACATATTGCTTTGTATTTAGGACAAAACGTTAATTTCTTTGGCAAATTTTTTGCATTATTACCTAAGTGCCTTGTTGCCAACAGGATGCATGTTTTGGAATATTTTTATTCTGTACAGGCTTCCTTCTTTTCACTGTAATTTAGGTTAGCATTGTGAAGTAACTACAATGTTATTGATCATCCTCAGTTTTCTCATATCACAACCATTAAACTCTGTAACTCTTTTAAAATCACCATCGGCCTCATGGTGAAATCCCTGAGCAGTTTCCTTCCTCTCTGGCAACTGAGTTAGTTAGGACGCCTGTATCTTTGTAGGGACTGGGTGTAGTGATACATCATCCGAAGCCTAATTAATAACTTCACCATGCTCAAAGACATATTCAGCGTCTGCTTTTTTTATTTTTACACGTCTACCAATCGGTGCCCTTTTGTTACGTTACAGCCTTATTATAAAATAGGTTTAACAAATATTTAAAAAACATATAATGACAAAGCCAAAACAGTTATTTTTGTGTAATTTTTGCAAATTGATTACAAATTAAAAACTGATACTTTATTTACATAAGTATTCAGACCCTTTGTTATGAGACTTGAAATTGAGCTCAGGTGCATCCTGTTTCCATTGATCATCCTTGAGATATTTCTACAACTTGATTAGAGTCCACCTGTGTAAATTCAATTGATTGGACATGATTTGGAAAGGCACACACCTGTCTATATAAGATCCCACAGTTGACAGTGCATGTCAGGGAAAAAGCCATGAGGTCGAAGGAATTGTCCGTAGAGCTCCGAGACAGGATTGTGTCGAGGCACAGATCTAGGGAAGAGTACCAAAAAATGTCTGCAGCATTGAAGGTCCCCAAGAACACAGTGGCCTCCATCATTCTTAAATGGAAGAAGTTTGGAACCCCCAAGACTCTTCCTAGAGCTGGCCGCCCGGCCAAACTGAGCTATCGGGGGAGAAGGGCCTTGGTCAGGGAGGTGACCAAGAAACAGATGGTCACTCTGACAGAGCTCAAGAGTTCCTCTGTGGAGATGGTTGTCCTTCTGGAAGGTTCTCCCATCTCTGCAGCACTCCACCAATCATTCCTTTATGGTAGAGTGGCCAGACGGAAGCCACTCCTCAGAAAAAGGCACATGACAGCCCGCTTGGAGATTGCCAAAAGGCACCCAAAGACTCTCAGACCATGAGAAACAAGATTCTCTGGTCTGATGAAACCAAGATTGAACTCTTTGGCCTGAATGCCAAGCGTCACATCTGGAGGAAACCTGGCACCATCCCTACGGTGAAGCATGGTGGTGGCAGCATCATGCTGTGGGGATGTTTTTCAATGGCAGGGAGACTAGTCAGGATCGAGGGAAAGATGAACGGAGCAAAGTACAAAGATCCTTGATGACAACCTGCAACAGAGCGCTCAGAACCTCAGACTGGGGCGAAGATTCACCTTCCAACAGGACAATGACCCTAAGTACACAGCCAAGACAACGCAGGAGTGGCTTCAGGACAAGTCTCTGAATGTCCTTGAATGGCCCAGCCAGAGCCCAGACTTGAACCCGATCGAACATCTCTGGAGAGACCTGAAGATAGCTGTGCAGCGACGCTCCCCATCCAACCTGACAGAGCTTGAGAGGATCTGCAGAGAAGAATGGAAGAAACTCCCCAAATACAGGTGTGCCAAGCTTGTAGCGTCATACCCAAGAAGACTCAAGGCTGTAATCGCTGCCAAAGGTGCTTCAACAAAGTACTGAGTAAAGGGTCTTGAAAACTTATGTGATATTTCCGTTTTTAATTTGTAATGAATTTGCAAACGTTTCTAAAAATCTGTTTTTGCTTTGTGATGGGGTAAAACAATTTAATCAATTTTAGAATAAGGCTGTAACGTAACAATGTGGAAAAAGTCAAGGGGTCTGAATACTTTACAAATGCACTGTGTGTTGGCTTTCTTGTGGCGGCAATTGCGGAAAAAAGCAACTACAGTATCTCCTCCCTAAGCTCACATAAGCTGCTCTCTTGAGAGCATTATTACCCATGCTTAGCCACCAAACCCTTTGTAAAAGTAGACTACGAAACAAGCAATGTTGCAGGCTAGATGTTGATCGGATAAAGTTTGATAGCCATAACTGAGTCCATGGTGTTTCTTAAGTCCCCACTGAGTTAAGCGCAAAGCACGCTCTGGTGTATCAGGCAGTGTAGGGATCTCATCTGCTATGAAAGCGACAATAGGCAGGCAGACAGACCCTGTACCCCTGTTAGCAGCTCTGATTGGCTGTAACTGGTATGATGGGTGATATTGATTGACAGCACTTAATGGACAGGACTACAGCAAACAGATTCTCACATTGGAGAATATTGAACGAGGGATCCTTTTGGCACTAAACATCAGATTTTTGCAGATCTTTTTTTGCTTATTTTTCTTATTCATGTTCAGAATTGATCAAAGGGCCATTCTAAATTGATAAACGGGCCAGTTATGGCGTGCGGGCCACTAGCTGAATAGCCCTGGTCTACATCATAAATAAGGCAAAACATCACACAAGACATTGTGCCCTATACAAATTCACACTGCACCACCATTACAAATGTACAATTTTACACACACACACACACACACACACACACAATAATATTGTATTGTTGTTTGTGTGTGTCTTCACAGTCCGCGTTGTGCCGCGAGGTGTTATCTGTTTTTTAAATCTGATTTTACTGCTAGTTTGGGTTACCTGAAGTGGAAGAGTTCCATGTAGTCATTGCTCTATGTAGTACTGTGCGTTTCCCAGCCTCTGTTCTGTCCTTAGAAACTGTGAAGAGCCTCCAGGTTGCATGTTTTGTCGGCTATGTATTGGTGTCTGAGCTGTATGTTAGCAGTTTGAACAGACAGTTCAGTGCTTTCTCTCACAAAGACGAGTAGTGATGCAGTCAATCTCTACTTTCGACCAGGAGAGATTTGACATTAGCCCTCCGTGTAATTTGCCTATGTCCTTCTTTGCAGCACTTGACCATATAACTGGGTAGTAGTCCAGGTGTGATAAAACTACGGTCTTGTAGGACTTGTTTTGTTGATTGTGAAAGCAGAGCAGCGCTTTATCACGGACAGACCTCTCTCCATCTTAGCAACCATTGCATCATTATGTTTTGACTATGTCAGTTTACAATTTAGTGTTAAACCAAGCAGATTAGTCTCCTCAACTTGCTCAATTGCCACATTATTCATTACAAGATTTAGATGAGGTTTAGGGTTTTTAGATATACAGTGGGGGAAAAAAGTATTTAGTCAGCCACCAATTGTGTAAGTTCTCCCACTTTAAAAAGATGAGAGAGGCCTGTAATTTTCATCATAGGTACACGTCAACTATGACAGACAAATTGAGATTTTTTTTCTCCAGAAAATCACATTGTAGGATTATTAATGAATTTATTTGCAAATTATGGTGGAAAATAAGTATTTGGTCACCTACAAACAAGCAAGATTTCTGGCTCTCACAGACCTGTAACTTCTTCTTTAAGAGGCTCCTCTGTCCTCCACTCGTTACCTGTATTAATGGCACCTGTTTGAACTTGTTATCAGTATAAAAGACACCTGTCCACAACCTCAAACAGTCACACTCCAAACTCCACTATGGCCAAGACCAAAGAGCTGTCAAAGGACACCAGAAACAAAATTGTAGACTTGCACCAGGCTGGGAAGACTGAATCTGCAATAGGTAAGCAGCTTGGTTTGAAGAAATCAACTGTGGGAGCAATTATTAGGAAATGGAAGACATACAAGACCACTGATAATCTCCCTCGATCTGCGGCTCCATGCAAGATCTCACCCCGTGGGGTCAAAATGATCACAAGAACGGTGAGCAAAAATCCCAGAACCACACGGGGGGACCTAGTGAATGACCTGCAGAGAGCTGGGACCAAAGTAACAAAGCCTACCATCAGTAACACACTACGCCGCCAGGGACTCAAATCCTGCATTGCCAGATGTGTCCCCCTGCTTAAGCCAGTACATGTCCAGGCCCGTCTGAAGTTTGCTAGAGTGCATTTGGATGATCCAGAAGAGGATTGGGAGAATGTCATATGGTCAGATGAAACCAAAATATAACTTTTTGGTAAAAACTCAACTCGTCGTGTTTGGAGGACAAAGAATGCTGAGTTGCATCCAAAGAACACCATACCTACTGTGAAGCATGGGGGTGGAAACATCATGCTTTGGGGCTGTTTTTCTGCAAAGGGACCAGGACGACTGATCCGTGGAAAGGAAAGAATGAATGGGGCCATGTATTGTGAGATTTTGAGTGAAAACCTCCTTCCATCAGCAAGGGCATTGAAGATGAAACGTGGCTGGGTCTTTCAGCATGACAATGATCCCAAACACACCGCCCGGGCAACGAAGGAGTGGCTTCGTAAGAAGCATTTCAAGGTCCTGGAGTGGCCTAGCCAGTCTCCAGATCTCAACCCCATAGAAAATCTTTGGAGGGAGTTGAAAGTCCGTGTTGCCCAGCGACAGCCCCAAAACATCACTGCTCTAGAGGAGATCTGCATGGAGGAATTGGCCAAAATACCAGCAACAGTGTGTGAAAACCTTGTGAAGACATACATAAAACGTTTGACCTGTGTCATTGCCAACAAAGGGTATATAACAAAGTATTGAGAAACTTTTGTTATTGACCAAATACTTGTTTTCCACCATAATTTGCAAATAAATTCATTAAAAATCCTACAATGTGATTTTCTGGATTTTTTTTCTCATTTTGTCTGTCATAGTTGACGTGTACCTATGATGAAAATTACAGGCCTCTCTCATATTTTTAAGTGGGAGAACTTGCACAATTGGTGGCTGACTAAATACTTTTTTCCCCCCACTGTATTTAGGACTAGCTTATTGCTAGCCACCCATTCTAAAACTGACTGCAGCTCTTTAATGGTTGCAGTGATTTCACTTGCTGTGGTAGCTGATGTGTATAATGTCGAGTCATAAGCGTACATAGACACACAGGCTTTACTCATTGCTAGTGGCAAGTCATTAGTAAAAATTGAAAACAGTAAAGGACCAAGACTGCTGCCTTGAGGTATACCACACTCTACCTGGTTTACGTTAGAGGCTTCCATTAAAGAAAACCCTCTGTGTTCTGTTAGATAGGGAACTGTCAATCCATGATATAGCAGAGGATGTAAAGCCATAACACATACGTTTTTTTCAGCAGCAGATTATGATCGATAATGTCAAAGCTGCACTGAAGTGTAACGAAACAGCTCCCAAAATCTTCTTATTATCAAAAATTTTTCAGCCAATCATCAGTAATTTGTGTCAGTACCGTACTTGTTTGAGTGCCTTTCCCTATAAGCGTGCTGAAAGTCTGTTGTTCATTTGTTTACTGTGAAATAGCATTCATGCCTAAATTTGCTAATCTTGCCAATGTAAAGTCATTAAAGTAGTGGGCAATATCAGAGGGTTTAGTGATGAATAAGCCTTCTGCTTCAATGAAGGATGGAGTTGAGTATGCCTTTTTTGTCAAAAATGTAATTGAAGGTACTCCAAAGGTTTTTACCATTATCCTTTATATCATTCATCTTTGTTTTGTAGTACAGTTTATTATTTTTGTTTAGTTTCGTCACATGACTTCTCAATTCACAGTACGTTTGCCCATCGGCTGTGCAGCCAGACTTATTTGCAGTTCCTTTTGCCTCGACCCTCTCAACCATAGTTTTTCAATTCCTCCTCAATCCACAGGGATGTAGCAGTTTTTTTAATAGTCAGTTATTATAATTTTTATTTATTTTTGTATTTTACCCCCTTTTTCGATCTTGTCTCATCGCTGCAACTCCCCAACGGGCTCGGGAGAGACAAAGGTAAAGTCATGCGTCCTCCGAAACATGACCCGCCTAACCGCGCTCCTTAACACCCGGAAGCCAGCCGCACAAATGTGCCCGCAGGCACCCAACCCGCCACAAGGAGTCACTAGAGCGCGATGAGCCAAGTAAAGCCCCTCCAGCCAAACCCTCCCCTAACCCGGACAATGCTGGGCCAATTGTGTGCCGTCCTATGGGACTCCCGGCCACGGCCGGTGTGGCACAGCCCTGGAATGAACCCTGGTCTGTAGTAACGCCTCTAGCACTGCCTTAGACCGCTGCGCCACTCGGGAGGCCCAACAGTCAGTTTCTAAATGGGTGCATGCTTATCAGAAACTGGAAGAAGCACTTTCATAAATGCGTCAAGTGCGGCGTCTGGTTGCTCCTCATAACAGACCAGCAAATATTCTTTACATCATTTGGTCCTCTGTAGCTCAGCTGGTAGAGCACGGCGCTTGTAACGCCAAGGTAGTGGGTTCGATCCCCTGGACCACCCATACACAAAAATGTATGCACGCATGACTGTAAGTCGCTTTGGATAAAAGCGTCTGCTAAATGGCATATTATTATTACTATTATTATATCTTCAACATGGGAATCTATACAAAACCTCTTGTACAGTGGCTTGCAAAAGTATTCACCCCCCTTGGCATTTTTCCTATTTTGTTGCCTTACAACCTGGAATTAAAATGGATTTTTGTGGGGTTTGTATCATTTGATTTACACAACATGCCTGCCACTTGCAAGATGCAAAATATTTTTTATTGTGAATCAAACAAGAAATAAGACAAAAAAAACTGAACTTGAGCGTGCATAACTACCCCCCCGAAACATTTAAATGTTTCCCGTTAAACCACTCGAGTGTTGCTTTAGCAGTATGCTTAGGGTGATTGTCCTGCTGGAAGGTGAACCTCTGTCCCAGTCTCAAATCTCTGGAAGACTGAAACAGGTTTCCCTGAAGAATTTCCCTGTATTTACTGCCATCCATCATTCCTTCAATTCTGACCAGTTTCCCAGTGTCTGCCGATGGAAAAACATCCCCACAGCATGATGCTGCCACCACCATGCTTCACTATAGGGATGGTGATGAGAGGTGTTGGGTTTGCGGCAGACATAGCGTTTTCCTTGATTGCCAAAAAGCTCAATTTTAGTCTCATCTGACCAGAGTACCTTCTTCCATATGTTTGTGGAGCCTCCCACATGCCTTTTGGCGAACACCAAACGTGTTTTCTTATTTTTTTTCTTTAAGCAATGGCTTTTTTCTGGCCACTCTTCCGTAAAGCCCAGCTCTGTGGAGTGTACGGCATAAAGTGGTCCTATGGACAGATACTCCAATCTCTACTGTGGAGCTTTGCAGCTCCTTCAGGGTTATCTTTGGTGTCTTTGTTGCCTATGAATAATGCCCTCCTTGCCTGGTCCGTGAGTTTTGGTGGGCGGCCCTCTTTTGGCAGGTTTGTTGTGGTGCCATATTATTTCCATTTTTTTATAATGGATTTAATGGTTCTCCGTGGGATGTTCAAAGTTTCGGATATTGTTTTATAACCCAACCCTGATCTGTACTTCTCCACAACTTTGTCCCTGACCTGTTTGGAGAGCTCCTTGGTCTTCATGGTGCCGCTTGCTTGGTAGTGCCCCTTGCTTGGTGGTGTTGCAGACTCTGGGCCCTTTCAGAACAGGTGTATATATATTGAGATCATGTGACACTTAGATTGCACACAGGTGGACTTTATGTAACTAATTATGTGACTTCTGAAGGTAATTGGTTGCACCAGATCTTATTTAGGGGCTTCATAGCAAAGGGGGTGAATACATATGCACGTACCACTTTTCCGTTATTTATTTTTTTGAATTTTTTGCAACAAGTTATTTTTGTTCATTCCACTTCACCAATTTGGACTATTTTGTGTATGTCCATTACATGAAATCCAAATAAAAATCAATTTCAATTACAGGTTATAATGCAACAAAATAGGAAAAACGCCAATGGGGATGAATACTTTTGCAAGGCACTGTATGATCTGTTATACACCATTTTAGGCCCAGCCTTTGGAACTTTTTTTTATTTTTTATATGGGCACTATATTTTGATCACTACATCCGACAAGTGTGGATACTGCTTTAGAACATATTTCTGCAGCATTAGTAAAGATGTTATCAATACACGTGGATGATTTTGTTCCTGTGCTGTTTGTAAATACCCTGGTAGGTTGACTGATGACCTGAACCAGATTTCAGGCACTGGTTACAGTTTGAAGATTCTTCGTGAGTGTACAGCTTGATGAAAACCATTCAATATTTACACTGAGTGTACAAAACATTAGGAACACCTTCCTAATATTGAGTTGCATCCCCTTTTGCCCTCAGAACAACCTCAATTCGTTGGCACATTTACATTTACATTTACGTCATTTAGCAGACGCTCTTATCCAGAGCGACTTACAAATTGGTGCATTCACCTTATTGTAAGTCGGATAACCACTTTACAATTATCGGATAACCACTTTACACTGCAACCTGATCTCATAGTTTCAAGTCGGGATTTGACGTAATGTGGAAGAAAGTTGAATTCTTGACCCATTTATTCCGCATGGTTACAGGGTTAATTCTGCATGGTTACAGGGTTTAAACAAAAACGACTCAAAGGGTTAAGTTTAGGTATTCATTCCGAGTGGTTAAGGTTAGGGCTATGGTTTGGGGAAAGCATAAAACAAAATCATAAAAAAAAAAAACTATTTAGTATCATCAAGTACTTTCCCTGCTTGCTAGAGAATTGTGAACTGCTGTGGTGCAGTGGTCTAAGCAGCGTGCTCTGGCTCTCAGCGCCGTGAGTTTGATCTCAGTGCTGTCCAATAGTTTAAAAGAACAAATGTGACTGATTCACCTGGTCATGGAAAGAGGTGTTCCTAATATTTTGTACACTCAGTGTATGTCACCCAGAAAATATACCTCTGTTGACATCGCATACAGTGCCCCTCGACTTTATCCAAATTGTTTTGTTACAGCCCGAATTTTTTAATGGATTAAATTGAGATTATGTGTCACTGGCCTACCTACACACAATACCCCGTAATGTCAAAGTCGAATTATGTTTTTAGAAATGTTTACAAGTTAATAAAAAATGAAAAGCTTAAATGTCTTGAGTCAATAAGTATTCAACCTGTTTGTTATGGCAAGCCTAAATAAGTTCAGGAGTAAACATTTGCTTAACAAGTCACAATAAGTTGCGTGGACTCATTCTGTGTTCAATATTAGTGGTTAACACGATTTTTTTAATGACTACCTCATCTGTACCCCACACATACAATTATCTGTAAGGTCCCTCAGTCGAGCAGTGAATTTCAAACATAGTCAACCACAATGACCAGGGAGGTTTTCCAATGCCTCGCAAATAAGGGCGCTTATGGTAGATGGGTAAAAAAAAATAGAGGCAGACATCGAATATCCCTTTGAGCATGGTGAAGTTATTAATTAGACTTTGGATGGTGTATCAATACACCCAGTCACTACAAATAAACAGGCGTCCTTCCTAACTTAGTTGCCGGAGAGGAAGGAAACCGCTCAGAGATTTCACCATGAGGCCAATGGTGACTTTAAAACAGTTACAGAGTTTAATGGCTGTGATAGGAGAAAATGGAGGATGGATCAACATTGTAGTTACTCCACAATACTAACCTAAATTACAGAGTGAAAAGGAAGCCTGTACAGAATAAAAATATTCCTCACTACAGCCCCGGGTTCGATCCCAGGCTGTGTCATAGCCGGCCGTGACCGGGAGACCCATGAGGCGGCGCACAATTGGCCCAGCGTCGCCCGGGTTAGGGGAGTGTTTGGCCAGCCGGGATATCCTTGTCCCATCGCGCTCTATCGGCTCCTTGTGGCGGGCCGGGTGCCTGCAAGCTGACTTCAGTCGCTGGTTGTACAGTGTTTCCTCCGACACATTGGTGTGGATGGCATCCGGGTTAAGCAAGCAGTGTGTCAAGAAGCAGTGCAGCTTGGCAGGGTCGTGTTTCGGAGGATGCATGGCTCTCGACCTTCTCCTCTCCCGAGTCCTTACGGGAGTTGGAGCAATGGGACAAGACTGTAACTACCAATTGGATATCACGAAAAAGGGGTAAAAATAAAAAACAAAGAATAGGCACTTGGTGGTCTATAGCAAGTTGAATTGTGTGTGTGTGTGCACTCAGGCCCTCTGTGTCTCTGGACTGCGGCACCCTGCGTAGACGGACTCAGCTCCTCCTCATCCTGTGTCTGAGCGTGTTGGGTGGGGCTTCCTGTGGAGCCCTGTCAATCACAGCCACCTTCCTGCTCCATCTCTACCGAGTGAGTCTGGGGCCCCTGTTAAATACTTAGTCCTTGTTCTTTTTGGTTTCCCTGTGGTTTACTAATGTATGACTATGTTTCTGTCCAGGTTCTGAGGCTACAGATGACAGAGAGGTCTCTGAGTCATATGCTGAACCTGGTAAGATTCTGCATTTTTTCCCTCTCTAAAATCTTCATATATTAATTATCCTCACTACCCTTTCAGGCGCCTGAGAAACAGAGAGACCAAGACAACAGAACTTGCAACAAAGAGAAAAGCACTGGGGACAGTGAGGCCCTGAACAGCAAACCTAAAGAATGTAACGGCGCCCCCCTGCTGTCGGACTCAGTACTGCAGGATGTGAGAGATGATCTGCAGCTGCACCTCAGCCTGTCTGCTCTCCTCACTCTTCCAGTCATGCTCTGTGCGCCATCACTGATCCACTGGACCCGCAACCTCAGGTACTGGAGTGTGTTCGTGTGTAGCCCTTACCCTGTCGGCCATATATCCATCCTTTACTGTTCCCTAACTCTAGTGTGTGTGTGTCCGTGTGTAGGACTGTGTGATTTTTCTCCGTAGTCCCCTTAATTGCCTTTTCTCTTCTTTGCAGATATTCTGCTGCTCGATTGGATCCTGACCCTTGCTGGCCACACACCGTGCCTCTCCTCATGGCCTCTGTGCTGCTCATCAACTGTAACACACTCACTCTCAGCTACAGGTGCTTCTACTATACTGCTCAGTTTGTCACACACCTTTCTGTCCTCAGTCCTGTCCTTTCACCAGGTGTATACGTGTGTGTTTTAACTTGTATTACACGCTTGGATTTCAGTACAACCCTGCCTAGCACATCCCGCCTGCTGCTGCCTCTCTCTGTTGCCATGGTGACCTTCTCCCCACTCCATCTATACCGAGTAACCTACTTCCTGTCTGCAGCCCTGGTTCCACTGGCTGTTTCCTTTCTCTTCTGAGCTCTGCTGGTACCTGCGCTGGGCCTATCACTCAGCAGACTCACAGAACCGGGTCAGGCCCCCAAACTGGTCGAAGCTAGCCTGGGGTTGAGCTCCCCTTTCAGGTCCTGGAGGTCCTATGCAGCAGAGCCATAGAAATACATAGTTTGTGAAACTGTCCACCATGATGGCTCCAAGCATTCCATTACAATAACATTTGCATTCCATTCTTAGGAGAATATAATTGTCATGGAGCTTTTAGTGCAAACATGGCTCCCATTGGAATTCCCAGTCTTAAACCATGTTTGCCTTACTCTGTATATGTATGGCTCTGCCTTCAAGGAGCATGACGCAATCACTCGAAAGACACTCCTGATACTAGTGGTTCTCAACAGGGTATTGCTCTCATTGTTTTACATATTGGTGATTTGTATTTCCTACAACTGTAATTTAATATATTTTAGTATAATTGTGGTAATGTGAGTATGATGGGATGTGTCTCAGTTTATTGGATGTCTGTTTATTAGACATGGACAAATGTTTGCCCATCCCCATTGACCCTAAACATTCTGGCCTGTCTTGTTGTTAACTTTGATCAAACCCACTATCATGAACTTAGCACAGTTGAATGCATTCAGTTGTACAACAGACTAGGTATCCCCCTTTCCTTTCATTTACTCTGTCACTAGTAAGACATAAAATATGCATAAGTAAGCAGTCTTGAGCTGTCAAGTCAAGTTTTGCAATAAGGGTTGCAAAACTACATGTAATTTACTATTTAACATTTTTCATGTTTAATTTTTTTTCTTCTATCTTTTACATATTATGAAAATTACCTAAAATCCTTAAGTGTCCAATAATCTGTTTAGTTTTCTTGTTCAATTTTGCAACCCTAGTTGCAATGACGTCATGCAGCTGTACGCAAGATGACTGTGGCTAACTCGCTTGCTTGGCTAGCTATTGTAACTGCACAGGACATGTTCCGTCATGCTAATGACAGTGTAAAGGTTTACAAGGGAGAATTAGCGTAAACTAACCGTCATTGCTTAGTCTGTGTATGAATTGTTTTCTCTTCTTTTGTTGCGGTAATCTCTCTCATAACACACCCACAACTGTTTCTACCTTCTGTTGCAATCATCCAGTTCAAAACGCAGGTGATTAGTTATTGAAAGTGGAGCTCTTAACTACATAAACAGTTCTTAGCCAAGTATGGTCATTATTATGTAGTATGTGGCCATGGCTATGAATGTTATTGGGTAGTCTCAATCTAAAGTGAAAGGGTCCTCACTACCTACCATATCATGAGGAAGGGATGACACTGCACACTTAACTTAATTCAGTTGTGCAATGTTGTAGGAAGGTTATACAGAGTTAGATGCTATTCCACATCATAGCACTAGGGGATAACGTGACGTTGTATCTACGTCGTAACATAACTATCTGAGCAGTTTTGCTACTGTATGCATCTCTTTGGACGGAGTCAAGGTCGACATCATCCATACTAGAGTATTTTAGATCTGATATTACCTTGCAAACGAATGTGACTTTGGCGTTCTATTGCAAGCTACTGTGTGTTACTCTTACTGACTAACAAAATGTCCTCCCATTTTGAAGAGCTAGCTTGAAAAGGAGGGCTATTTGGCTAGAAAATATTTGATTAATGTCGTTAAGTGGCCATGGCCACTATTATTCACTGGAAGAGTCTTTACTTACTTGGAAAACATCAGCACTTGGTATTTCCTCTACTGTTCCCTAATGTGTGTGTGTGTGTGTGTGTGTGTGTGTGTGTGTGTGTACACTTTTGATGCTCACCAGCACCCCTCATCACCAGCTGTGTTGGCAACCCTTGGTCAAAGCAGCTAGTGCCTTTCAGCCGATATGACCGTTCCCCTCCACGCATTCACTCCTATCTGCCTGTCAATCAAGACACTTTGAGTATAGGGAATAAGATTGTCACATAGACCAGCATCTCTGACATGTGACTCGTCTCAGCCTCGGTGGTCATCTGAGTGCAACAGCACAACCGTAGTGAGCATAACCTTTGCTTGTAGCTGTCTTAACACTTTCATTAGCAAGACAGACAGATGTCATAAACAAAGGTTACGGTGCCTTCAGAAAGTATTCATAACCCTTGACTTATTCCACATTTTGTTGTTAAAGCCTGAATTCAAAATTGATAAAATAATAATGTCCTTGCCCATCTACACACAATACCCCATAATGACAGTGAAAACATGTTTTTAGAAATGTTTGCAAATTTATTGAAAATGAAATACAGAAATATATCTCATTTACGTAAGTATTCACACCCATGATTCACTAATTTGTAGAAGCACCTTTGGCAGCGATTACAGCTGTGGGTCGTTCTGGGTAAGTCTCTAAGAGCTTTCCACACCTGGATTGTGCAACATTTACCCATTATTCTTTTCAAAACTCTTCAAGCTCTGTCAGATTAGTTGGTGATCATTGTTAGACAACCATTTTCAGGTCATGCCATAGATTTTCAAGTAGATTTAAGTCAAAGCTGTAACTCGGCCACTCAGGAACATTCACTGTCTTGGGAAGCAACTCCAGTGTAGATTTGGCCTTGTGTTTTAGGTTATTGTCCTGCTGAAAGGTGAGGATTTTGCCTGTGCTTAGCTACAGTCAGTTTATTTCTTATCCCGAACAATTCCTTAACAATTACAAGCATACCCATAACCTGATGCAGCCACCACTATGCTTGAAAATATGGAGAGTGGTACTCAGTAATGTGTTGTATTGGATTTGCCCCAAAAATAACACTTTGTATTCAGGACAAAAAGTTGATTGCTTTGCCACATTTTTTTGCAGTATTATTTAAGTGCCTTGTTGCAAACAGGACGCATGTTTTGGAATATTTTTTATTCTGTACAGGTATTCTTCTTTTCACTGTCATTTAGGTTAGTATTGTGGAGTAACTACAATGCTGATGATCCATCCTCAGTTTTCTCCTATCACAGCCATTAAACTCGGTAACTGTTTTAAAGTCACCATTGGCCTCATTGTGATATCCCTGAGCGGTTTCCTTCCTCTCCGGCAACTGAGTTAGGAAGGACACCTGTATCTTTGTAGGGACTGGGTGTGTTGATACACCATCCAAAGTCTAATTAATAACTTTACCATGCTCAAAGGGATATTCAGTGTCAGCTTTTTTATTTTTCTCTCTGGTATGCAATCTGGTTTCCACTCAGGTTATGGATGTGTCACTGCAACCTTAAAGGTCCTAAATGATGTAACCATTGCCCTTGATTCTAAGCAATGATGTGCTGCTATTTTTATTGACTTGGCCAAAGCTTTTGATATGGTAGACCATTCCATCCTTGTCGGCCGGCTAAGGAGTATTGGTGTCTCTGAGGGGTCTTTGGCCTGGTTTGCTAACTACCTCTCTCAAAGAGTGCAGTGTATAAAGTCAGAACATCTGCTATCTAAGCCACTGCCTGTCACCAAGGGAGTACCCCAAGGCTCGATCCTAGGCCCCACGCTCTTCTCAATTTACATCAACAATATAGCTCAGGCAGTAGGAAGCTCTCTCATCCATTTATATACAGATGATAGTCTTATACTCAGCTGGCCCCTCCCCGGATTTTGTGTTAAACGCTGTACAACAAAGATTTCTTATTGTCCAACAAGCTTTCTCTGCCCTTAAACTTGTTCTTAACACCTCCAAACCAAAGGTCATGTGGTTTGGTAAGAAGAATGCCCCTCTACCCACCGGTGTGGTTACTACCTCTGAGGGTTTAGAGCTTGAGGTAGTCACCTTATACAAGTACTTGAGAGTATGGCTAGAGAGAACACTGCCCTTCTCAGCACATATCAAAGCTGCAGGCTAAGGTTAAATCTAGACTTGGTTTCCTCTATCGTTATCGCTCCTCTTTCACCAGCAGCTGCCAAACTAACCCTGATTCAGATGACCATGCTAGATTACAGAGACATAATTTATAGATTGGCAGGTAAGGGTGCTCTCGAGCGGCTAGATGTTCTTTACCATTCGGCCATCAGATTTACATTTTACATTTTAGTCATTTAGCAGACGCTCTTATCCAGAGCGACTTACAGTTAGTGAGTGCATACATTATTTTTTGTATTTTTCATACCCCCTGTGGGAATCGAACCCAGAACCCTGGCGTTGCAAACGGCATGCTCTACCAACTGAGCTACATGCTTGTTTTTTTTGCCACCAATGCTCCTTATAGGACACATCACTGCACACTATACTCCTCTGTAAACTGGTCATGTCTGTATATTTACAAAACCCTCTTAGGCCTCACTCCCTCCTATCTGAGATAACTACTGCAGCCCTCATCCTCCACATACAACACTCATTCTGTCAGGCACATTCTGTTAAAGGTCCCCAAAGCACACACATACCTGGGTTGCTCCTCTTTCCAGTTCGCTGCAGCTAGCGACTGGAATGAGCTGCAAAAAACACTCAAACTAGACAGTTTTATCTCCATTTCTTCATTCAAAGACTCAAACATGGACACTCTTACTGACAGTTGTGGCTGCTTCGCGTGATGTATTGTTGTCTCTACCTTCTTGCCCTTTGTGCTGTTGTCTGTGCCCAATAATGTTTGTACCATGTCTTGTGCTGCTGCCATGTTGTGTTGCTACCATGTTGTTTTCATGTTGGGTTGCTACCTTGCTGTGTTGTCGTGTGTTGCTGCCATGCTATGTTGTCTTAGGTCTCTCTTGTTGTGATGTGTGTTTGGTCCTGAATCTGAGTTTGAAATTCACTGCTCGACTGCGGGACCTAACAGATAATTGTACACTTCATGGCCAAAAGTATGCTTGTCGAACATCTCATTCCAAAATCATGGGCATTAAAATGGAGTTGGTCCCCCCCTTTGCTGCTATAATCCTCCACTCTTCTTGGAAGGCTTTCCACTAGATGTTGGAACATTGCCCAGATTCGTCTGTCGGACTGCCAGGTGGTGAAGTATGATTCATCACTCCAGAAAACGCGTTTCCACTGCTCCAGAGTTCAATGGCGATGAGCTTTACACCACTCCAGCCGATGCTTGGCATTGCGCATGGTGATCTTAGGCTTGTGTG